TGCCGATGAAGAGAGGAGGGAAACCCGAGGAGGGAAAGAGGAGGGAAACCCCCGGAGCTTTAGCAATAACAGACATATTATGTCTCTTGTGTACCACCTTTGTTTGCGCAAATTCTCACCAGTTGATGTTTTAATCAATGTTAGCATATTCCTTACATCTTTCTTCACCATGATGTGAAATAACGAGCTATGATATTGGTTAACACGCCAGAAATTATATTGTTTTATTGTTTATTGTTCCATTCAAATTATTTACAAAATATATTATTACAATTTGACGCAGAGCGTATATTGTGTGCTAAAAGGTTTAAGGTTATGTATAAGTAAGATAATTAATTGGTGAAGTATTGGAACATAACAAGTAATAATATTATTCTATAATAATATTAATGTTTGTTGATTTGGACAAATCAGGACGATAGGTCATCTTAATGCAGATTTACATTATAGAAGTGGTCATCTTTGAACCCTGGGGCTTTTCCCCCTCTTTCGATGAATAAGCTAGTAACAAATGTTTCCTTTTAGCAGAAGACTTATATTTTGCCCCTATAAGCCCACTTATTCCATCCATAACCTGGAAATTTTACAATTAGATTAGAGTGCTATATATATATATATAAAACAGTCAGAAAGATTGGAAATGAATTGCATACCAAGTATATCATGTACAGTTTGCGCCAAGAGTTTGCGGATGTTTTCCAAACATCAATTGTGTTGTATTGCTATGTAATACTCATAGCCTCTTTCTGTTTCACCTTAGGGCTGAGAAGGTTTGAGATGTCATGGTTTATCACGATGGATATAATACGCAATAACTAAAAATAGAGGTGTGGATATTTTTTCTTCTTATACTTTAAATTTTCTTGTAAATTGAAACTCTGACTTCAAATGATAAAATGTGCCGACTCAGCACTTTTGAGCCTGATTCAGAACCGGTCACATATCAATTTTTCATGTCTAGAGTTTTTTTGGTCAATTCCAGGCTGGCTTAATCTAGTCAATCAAATACATTTCATGTCTTAATACTCCATACATGATATAACTCTAATCTTAAGTGCTACTTGACTTAAATTGCCAATTACGGTGAAAATTTATATTTTGGAAAATGGGGTAGGGGTAGCTTAGTATTAGCCAATATAGCATGAGATTGGTTAAAAGAAGCATTGTAACTACTTCATCCATCAATTCAATGATTATAATCCATTTGAAGTTTAAATTAATAATCCTGCACTTTATTAAGACAATTATATTGACCTAACATCCTTCCATTTTGGCAAATAGGGTTTATTGTGCCAGAAATGTCATCCTTATTCTCCATATATCATATGTGGCAGATTTAGATATAAGATGATAATCATTGCTATATCTAAACAATATCATGTTTGCAACTTAAAATCATGAAAAAGTTGAAAAATACTCCAAAATAGCGAAAAAATGGGAAAAGTAAAAAGCACGTAAAATCTTGAATTCTCAAAATCCCAGTTATTTTATTGCAGATTATGAAGGCCCTGATGCTCCTCTTTCCAACGGTAATACTCACTGTACATGAGACATCTGGCTTTTCTGGCAAATTGGATCCAAAGATGTCTATATTGACCCTCATGTTTACAACTAAAATCACGAAAACCTTGAAGAAATGGCCGAAAACATCGAAAAAAAAGTTAAAAGTAAAATGCTTGTAAAATCTTGGGAACCCAAAATCCCAGTTATTTTATTGCAGATTATGAAAGCTCTAATGCTCCTCTTTCCAACAGTAATACCCACTCTACATGGGACATCTGGCTTATTAAACAAACTGGGTCCAAAGATGGCTGCCATTTCGTCTCTTAATTGACCCATGTTCCAGAAAAGGCTCCGTAACCATGGCAACCATTGTGACGTCATAATAAACAATACATATGAACTCTTCAACATGTCCCATATACAAATCAAATAGTTATTAACTGGTTTTGGATTATCTTCTTAGCATACCATAAGCTGGAAATATGTCTTTTTTCACCAATTTTGGTGCATTTTCTAGGTTGTAAACAGACAACAAACATGGGTTGCTTAGCAACCATGTCACACACTAACCAATCATCTGTTAGGAGAATAAATTATATATTTTGGCTTCCCAATGGTCATACTTTCATATAAGAATAAATTTTTGAAATATAAAATTTGACTTGTGCCACCCTCCAATGGTGCCCTGCCCCCTTTTTACAAATAGTGCCTCTTAAATAAATTCATAAATTTTGGAACAAAAGTCTATCAAAAACCACTTTTTGAAATTTAAAAAAAAAGTTTCACATATCACACTTTGATAACATTGGGTAAGACTACAATATAAGCCAAAGTGGTTTAAACTTTATATGGGGCCTTTAAGTAGATAATGTCTGGAGCATTGCATCCAGAGAATACTTGTATGTCAACAGGATTATTTAAAGCATCTTAAATAAAAAATGGTTCAGCCATAAAGATAACAGAAGTGTTTTTGAATTTGAAATAAAGCATCCGCTTTGAGACTGTGTATTGATTATTTACTATACTTGGTACTTGGTATGATTTCGGAGAATTTAGAAGCTTTGGCTCTCTAAAATTATTTATTCAACATTCCTAAAATACCTAAGTTTAGAAGACTTATGTACTTTATTTATTTGTTACATATGAAAGATCCTAAAATATGATTAAAAATGTCTGCCTTGATCTTGACATAATGTTTAACATTACATTCTGTATATTTGTTATACTTTAAAATTGAGAATTTTTTATGTTTGATATTTAATTTTGGATTTAATATTACAAGTCTTTGCAAATGAAATATTTTTTTATTTGTTTGTACATGTTCTAGAAACTTCCCTGGTCAAATCCTTTCTCAACATTAGGATGTTTGTTTCATTTTCAAATGTCTCACGTCAACTGATGTTTTCAAGCTGATCAGACGATTAAAGTAAATAAAGATCTGCGTGATGACGAGTAATAATTAATAATAATTAATAATAATTCAAATAATTGTTATGATTACTATTACCAATATTAAATGAAAATAATTTTTCAAAGTTTTATGTGACTATTTACATATGATTGTTGAAAACGGCTCAAAAACAAAATAATTGTTTAAATTGTGTTCCATTGTGTTGAAATGATGTTTCCCGAAATAATTTCTTTTTCTAAAATATGATTTGAAAATGATTATTGACTATTGAAACTCACCTGACTTGTTGTTAAAGCTTTGTGATTTACCAACTTGAATCCGAAATTTTTTATCCTAAACTCTTCCCTGAGTTCTTTAGTCATTTTTTTAAATGTTGCCAAAATTATTTTATCTTGTTTCAATTGTATTGTTTTTTATGTTTATTTGTATGAGTTTCTTGTTTAATGTTCCCAAGTTTTCCTTGTTACATAACTTAAACTGTGCTAGCATATATTTAAGGGTTTTATATCCTTAATGTTTTATCCAAATAGTCCAAGTGTGTCTCAGCCAATCAGCTTTGATAATTTGGTATTTAATATCCTTGCACTTGTTCAGTGCACAGCAGTGTTGTAACAGTTTTGTAAGGTAATTTATAGTGTTTGGTTCAGATAATGTTAATAAAAATGAAGATTGTTATTCTTCCCTGGTTTGGTTAGCTAATTTAAGAGTGTTTGCTCCAGCTTTAATAAAAAATTGATCTAAAAGTTATTATTCCATGGCTCGGTCAGCTAATTTGAAAGTGTTTGCTTCAGATTGAATTAGAAAACTAGAAAGTTGTTAAGAATGAATTTAATTGGCTCTGGGCATAAACCATGGAACCTGGCCAATCTGAGAGGAAAAAACATGGAAAATTTGTCAAAGATTTTTAAATAAAAAATCAGTTTTTCTACAAAAAAGGTAATAAATCGAGGTCTTGGACAAATCACCCAAAGAGTGGATTTTGTAGTTAATTTACCAATATTTCAGGAAATTTGCTCCCTTTTTATAAGTCTGAGAAGAAGTATACATGGAAACTTTCAATCTTGAGAGGAAATTGACATGGAAAAAATGCTCAAAAGGGGGGTATTTGGCGCGGCACATAGGTATTAAGAGGTATATTTGAGTGAAACCCCCAGGGTATGAAAACAGGAATTTTCATTAATTTGTGAGATCTCTCTGAAATATTGCATTCTTATACTCAAATGAAAGGTAATTTAGAGTAGATTGCAAATATTGCATTGTTATTTTTCTGATTCGAGACTCAGTAGTAATTTCCATTGTTTTGATTTGTCCAGGAGTAACCTGTTTAAAACTTTCCATTATCCCCTATGTACATTTTTATTCAAATTGTTAATGTTCCGTTTAAACTCACTAGGTTGGTGAGTGATAATTTTAATTTTAACAAAATACTCAATCTGCTAATGAATTGTAGCAAATGTGACTCAGACATTAATCAGGGTGATATTATAATTTATACCCAAGAATATGGATTCCAGCACTAAATCACTGATTTATCTCTTTCAGTGTCATATTGTCCTAACTCCATAAAAAATTCAATGATTCAATTTAACTTTGTTCTACGTATCACTTTAACCAATCAAATTGTTTGAATTACACCATTTGACTAAGAATTATTATATTACAATTTTAAACTGAGATTTGAATTTATTTTTGAAAAAAAACGAATGGAGAAATTTGTGTCCATTGAAAATACATAGCAAAATGGACATAGCTCAGCTTTAATCTAAATCAATGTTGCAAAAAACTTGGAATTAAATTGTCCTATCTCAAAACAATGTAAAAATTTCACAAATGACAGATATTGAAGTTACAGATGCCTAAACTTTCAAAAATTGATTTCTTACTTTCACAAAAATGTGAATTGGGACATTTTTATTCTCATAGGGCGAATTGTTGGTGCAGATTTTGTGTTTCTGAACACAACATATTTCTCAATATTTAAGTTGCATCTAAATAATGCAAAATGTTAAAAAAGATACTTGACTGGTCCTGACATCTTTTATGCACATACTTAACCACGAAACTGATGTGTTATAATATTTTGTAGAAATCTCTACTGTCCCTGACTTTACCAACAACTGGGGGAGTGGATAGCTTGAGTAAACGGTTCAAAGCAGGTTGCAATGTAGCAAGTGGCCAAACTAAGACTAACTCATCTGCAGATGAGCAAGAGGTACAGTATACATGTATATCAATCAGGTCTGTTGCCCTGGCCAAAAGTTCTTTCAAAATTAATGCAGTTTTTCATCATTCTGAGTATTTTTTAAGTGATTTCTGTAATATTATGATAAAATATATCAGACAAAACCATGAGGCTGAGGTATCCCACAATGCAGTTTTATTATGACCACTTCGAATATGACCACTTCTGGTTGTGACAGAACACAATTTCCACCATTTTTGGAACAAATTTCTCAAAAGTGAACCCCTCCTGGAATTTTTTAAAAAGTGAACCCCCTTCACAAAAACTGGCTACATGCCTTTCAATGATGTTGAAATGTTGTAGTTTTTGCTTTTGTCAAGTACTTTATCTGACTTAGAACATTATTTTATTTGATCAGAATTCTAACAAGTGAAAACTACATCCGACAGCTAGCCCAAACGAATACTTTCAGTATGTGTAGATGGGAAGATGCAGCCGAATAATTATAATTGTATCTCAATTATATTTTTAAGAAGTTTAAAATGCTTTAAAAATAGATTAAATGGCTGTCAGATATCCAGGGGTGTTTTTATCAGATTACATACATTAGCCTGATTGTTTGCATTTACACATTTTTCTAGAATCACATGTCAGTCTATGTGTATCTAGCAGATGTAAAAACAATAGTCATTTGTGATTGCATGCCAGTTATCATAATTAGCATCGTCACACAATATTAACAGCAGTCAAGCAAGATACATATATTTGACATGATTAACTGTTTTGCTTCTACCTAAACCCTCCCTTTATTATGTGACTGGATGTTTTAGTGATACCTTTTGGTTGGTTGGAACATGGGTTTTCAACAACTTTCACTTGAAAGCCCATGGAAACAATGCTCAATGCAATAGAACTTGAATGTTATACTGCATTTTTTAATAGCCCACCGCAGTCGTGCATTGCGTAATAGGTAATGAGATTTCCCCTCAGGTATCAAGAAAAAGAACAAAAAACAACTTAGCGCAAATAACATGGTCGCATGTTTTCAACAAAAAAACTCGAGTGCACTAACACTCACTCTTTTGAAAGACATCGCGGTATATTGCATTCGATCTCATGTGGGGCACTAGCATCAAGTGGGCACGATTGACATACGCTTTTACCCAACTAGTTTGGAACCTTGTAATTAACGGTTGAACTGCTTTTGTGTGTGAGCATGTAATTTGCAACGTATGGGCTCATTGTTCTTTTTCATGACACCTAGGGGGACTTATTATATATTATGCAATGCACTCACCCGTGGGTAGTTCAAAAATGCAGCCTTAATGTAAATGTAGATGTTATTGGGATTATTTGTTCTTGAAAATATAGTAATTAGTACAGTGTATGTGAAACTCACACCCTACAGCCCCATCAAATATTTAGTGTCATTTGCATCACTTACAGTATGTTTATTGGGAGATGCTGCCTATCTATTATAGTTGTAGTAAATATATTGTTAAATGAACATTATTCTTTAGACTGTTCCTGAGAAGGCCCTCACAGATGAGGAGGTCAGCAAAGCCTCTAAATCCTGGAGCCAGGCTGATGACATGGTAAAACCTCTTCCCAGGCAGCATCCAATGTGAGTACATGCATTAACTTTAGTACTTTTGTACTATTATGGTAACTTTACCTTACTCCCTGTCATCGTTGTGCTACTATAGTACTTTAGGGCCCAAAAATTGGGCCCAAATTTCTAAGGCCCCAAAATGTCTGCCTTTTTGGTCATTACTGGGCCTTTTAAGGCCTTATTATCCCACCGAACGAAGTTCGAGGGGGATATAGAAAAGCCGTCCGTCCGTCCGTTCGTCCATCGGTCCGTCCGTCCGTCCGTTCGTCCGTCCGTCCGTTCGTGTGTCCGGGCAATAACTCATTGTTGTCAAATACCGTTTGACGGATTTCATTCAAATTTAATAGGCTTATGCCTTATTGGTGTAGGACCTCTGCTCGAGAAGGAATTTTCAATATGGCCGCTTAATTCAAAATGGCGGCCATTTTTCAGAAAAAATATAATCTTTAATAACTCAAATACTAGTGGATGGATTTGGTTCAAATTTTATATGCTGTTGCCTTGGTACAAAGGAGCCTTGCTCAAGAAGACATTTTCAAGATGGCCACCAAATTTCAAAATGGTGGCCATTTTTTCGTAAAAAACGTTATCTTTGATAACTCAAAGACCATTGAATGGATTTGGTTCAAATTTTAGATGCTCATGCCTAAGGACATAGGAGCTCTGCTCGAGAAAGGATTTTCAAGATGGCAGCTAAATTTCAAAATGGCGGCCATTTTTCGTAAAAAAACATTATCTTTGATAACTCAAATGCCATTGAATGGATTTGGTTTAAATTTTAGATGCTGATGCCTAGGGACATAGGAGCTCTGCTCAAGAAAGGATTTTCAAGATGGCAGCTAAATTCCAAAATGGCGGCCATTTTTCATAAAAAAACATTATCTTTGATAACTCAAGTACCATGGAATGGATTTGGTTCAAATTTTACATGATGATGCCTAGGGACATAGGAGCTCTGCTCGAGAAGGGATTTTCAAGGTGGTAGCTAAATTTCAAAATGGCCGCCATTTTTCATAAAAGAACGTAACGTTTGATAACTCAAATACCAGTTGATGGATTTGGTTCAAATTCTATATGCTGATGCCTAGAGACAAAGAAGTTCTGCTCAAAATTGAATTTTCAAGATGGCCACTGAATTTCAAAATGGCCGCCATTTTTCGTAAAAAAAACATAATTAATGATAACTCAAATACTAGTGGATGGATTTGGTTTTTATATGCTGATGTTTAGGGAAAAAGGAGATCTGCTTCAGAAGAAATTTCAAAGGCAATAGCTGAATTTCAAAATGGCTGCCATTTTTCATTAAAAAAGTACCCTTTGATAACCCAGATGCGGACAGATACAGACATTCTCTGCTAAAGAAGAAATCTAAAGATGACAGCTGAATTTCAAAATGGCAACCATGTTTCATAAAGACATAATCTTTGATAATTCAAATACCAGTGGATGAATTTGGCTCAATTTGTTTATCAAAACATGTTTTGTTCGGTGGGATTTGCTACTCCGTGGAGTTGCTGTTTTTCTAGTTTTTTAATTTCAAGCCAAATTTTGAAGAGAATGGGCCTCAAAATTCCAAATTTTGGGCCCACTTGTGAGTTTTAGGGGCCCAAAATTGCACAGACGTTTTTTTCTCTGAACTGAAATTTGGGTCCCCCCTTGTTGGTTCCCAGATCCGCCCCTGATTATGGTAACCTCACTGCCTGTCATCTTTCTGTTACTGTAGTAACTTTGTGCTACTATTTGTGTTGCTGTCTGGTTATTACTCTGTGCTACTATGGCAGTTTTGTGTTATTATGGTAACTTTGTGAAACTGTCTACTCATCTTTGTGCATAGACATCCTAAGGTTTTCATACTATGTTCCGCAAATGTGAATAAAGTGTCTTATTTTATCCTATATCTGTTTCATGATGGTAAATCTTCAAGCTAATGATAAAAAATAATAAAAGTTGAATTACTATTAACTGTAATATTGCAGCTTGCCTAAAGAGGGTGCTAAGAATATGTTGGTCACCAGTGCCTTGCCTTATGTGAACAACATTCCACATCTTGGCAACATTATTGGATGTGTACTTAGCGCTGATGTATATTCTAGGTATGTAATGCTTTTCATGATGAAACTTATTTATCTTACATGATATAAGCATTTTAGTATTTTGCAAAGAACAATAAAACCTGTCTAGAATATTCACATTTAGAGGTTTCAGAAATCCAGACAACTTTTCAATCTGTAGTAAGTTGAACTAAGAATTGTGTAAAATTGTTAACAATCACTAAAAGAAGTATTAACATTCATTTGCATTATTACTGATAGATGCGATGGTTTATGTATTTCCAGATTTTGTCGCTTGCGTAACTACAACGTGTTGTACATCAGTGGTACTGATGAGTATGGCACTGCAACTGAGACAAAGGCTATTGAGGAGAACCTTACACCACAACAGATCTGTGACAAATACAATAAAATACACACAGAAATATATGAGTGGTTCAACATTGATTTTGACTTCTTTGGAAGAACTACGACAAAATACCAAACAGAGTAAGTCCAAATCACAGTTTTTTTAAGAAATCACCTAGACTGAGTTATATCTTCTAATGTATCTCAAAACGGTGTGTTTATTCCACATATCATATACTAGTTTTTTATTCAACTTGATTTCAAACTGATTAGCCATAAATGTAACTGGGAAGTAATAGGGCACATAAATTTTATGCTAAAATTAATTGATTTAATCTGTAATAATAAATTCAGTGTATAGTGATGGTTTTGAAATTGTTGTTGAAAAGATGCTGATTCAATTAATTAACTTACCTCCTGAATTCACTTTGTACAACTGTTTTACTTAAGTTAGATATACATATACGAGTATAATATAACTACTTGATGATTCAATGTCATTTGATTCAAATCCATTCATGTTATTTTCAGGATAGCCCAAGATATATTTTGGCAGCTTCATAAAAACAATTTTATCTTAAAGGACACTGTAGAGCAACTTCGCTGTTTACAGTGTGAAAGGTAGGTTTTATATTATGTAGTGGCAAAACATTGTGTTGAATGCGCAATATGCTAGTATATAAATGCATATTTCTTTAGTTCCAATAATTTTGGGCTACCCAATTGTTACAACTCTCGCTGAAGTTAACAAAATCACTCATATGGCTGCCTCATGCACAAAATGCCCTCCATTTATTTGTATTATGCCTGGGTCACATTTGCTCCGTTCGGCCAGCGCCAGGTGGCCGATTGAGTATCCTGTTCACAATTGTATTCAGTTTTGAACAGAATACTCAATCGGTTGGGGGCCGGCCAATGAATCGGAGCAAATGTGACCCAGGCATTAACTTGCAGGGTAAGAATTGATTGATGGCAGAATTTGTGAATTTTCAGATCTGAAAAATAAGTGAACTCAGAATAGTTCAGTTGTCAGATTTGTTGTGCAAGAGTCCAAACACTTGAGTCAATCAGAACAGTTGGGCTTCCACCCACATTCATTTAAAATCTGTAGAAAGGATAATATTCTCACAACTTTGGGGAGATATACCATTCTTTATGCAATGTAATTATCCGCACTCATACTCAGAATAGCCTATTAACTTTAAGGCATAATTGAGTGTTCAGTAAAATTCTTTTGATTAGTTGTAAGAACATTGTACCCCCTTAGAGTGTCATAGCCTTGCTAGATGAAAATTACAAAAAGTGAATTGTATTTACATTGTAGGTTTCTGGCTGATCGTTTTGTAGAGGGTACATGTCCTTTCTGTGCGTACGAGGATGCCAGGGGTGACCAGTGTGACAAATGTGGCAAGCTAATCAATGCCCCTGAGTTGAAACAACCAAAATGTAAAGTGTGTAAAAACACTCCAGTTGTTCAAACCTCTGAACATCTCTTTCTAGATCTACCAAAGGTAAGTGAAATAGGTAGAATTAGATGATAAAATAAGTTTTCTGGATTCTACTAACTTTTTTAAGTGGGGGTAAATGAGTTTATGAGTCCGTGCACGGCTATTACAAAATCTCAATTGGTACAGTGCCCAGTTTCTTTAATCCTAGGAGATCAATGCTTTGATACTAAATTTTTATTAGAATGTTAGATTTCTGAGAACATATAGGAATTGAAAAACTAATTGTTTCATTCTTTTGGGATTTGAGGCTATTAAAATACATCAGAATTTAGACTAGTTTCAAATTTGTCATTTCAGCTTGAACCTCGTCTGTCAGCGTATTTGGATGCAGAATTTGAGAAAGGTATCTGGACATCCAATACTAAAGTCATCACCAAGGCCTGGATTAGAGATGGTTTGAAACCACGCTGTATTACCCGTGATCTCAAATGGGGAACCCCAGTACCTCTTGAAGGTTTCAAAGAAAAGGTGAGGAATTTTTGACTCGAAAAATATCTCATGATACAAGATCTTCCAGTTTGACCAGATATCTTATTGAATAGATCTTATATAAATGCATGTAATGAAAGGGAAGCGCACTCTAACTTGATCGTTGAAAATGCTTGAGGGAGGGTTCTTTATGGATTTTGACTCTGAGCATTTTATGTTTTCTTGTGGGGTTTCATCCGTATATGACATCTTTGCACCATGATATAATATGTTGCTATTTTTCTTTATAAAACTTGCTTCCAGTTTGTTCCCAGTCTTCTTGGGTCCATATCTGATTTAATGTAAAATATTCATATGTAAACTGTTGTTGTTTCCCTTTATTGCTGTAGGTGTTCTATGTGTGGTATGATGCCCCTATAGGCTACATGTCAATGACAGCCAACTATACTGAGCAATGGAAACAATGGTGGAATAACCCCAGCAAGGTAACTTCTCAAAGCTCCCTCTCTCACCAAATAAGTGTTTACAAGTGAAAAGCATCTAGGGTGAAACAGTGTCAAGAGAAAGACTGTACCATGTGTCTAAAGACGAATAGTTACAGAAACATGGTAACTTAAAGGAATAAGAATAAGAATCTTAAATCACTTTGAGTAACTTCAGAATTAGTGCTGCATCCAGTAATGAAGGAAATTAAATATTTCTCGATAATATAATGTATGTCATGAAATGCGTCGGTGACATTTTAACCATTTCATTTATATATTTTTTATTTTCTAGGTTCAAATGTATAACTTTATGGCCAAAGATAATGTACCATTTCACAGTGTGATATTCCCCTGTTGTCTGCTAGGAGCAGAGAATAACTACACTGTAGTGAACAATCTAAGTGCAACAGAATACTTAAATTATGAGGATGGAAAGTTCAGCAAAAGTCGAGGTGTAGGCGTGTTTGGGAACAATGCTAGAGATACTGGAATACCTGCAGATATTTGGAGATTCTATCTCTTGTTTATTCGACCAGAGTCCCAAGTAGGTCATTTTGATGTACTATGTTTAATACTCCATATTTCAAGAGTGTACTAGGGGCTTTCTAATGGTTTATGTACACACTGATTACTTTTCTTTTTTAGGACAGCACATTTAACTGGGATGATTTTGTGTTGAAGAACAACAGTGAATTGTTGAACAATCTTGGGAATTTCATCAACAGGTACAGTAAGGTCATCACTCTGTCATGTACATGTACTTACCAGTATTATGTTATATTCTCTTGAGAACTAAAAATAAAACATTAAATGTACTGGGTTGATAATTTAATATCTCCATCTTTTTCTTGTATAATGTAATATTCTGCTACATACATCTTGTTTATACATGTTTAGTTAGATATTTGACTTTGAGTTTTTGATACTTGGATATTTGGTGAATATTTATTATAGGGCTTTGGCATTCCTGGAAAAGAACTTTGATTCTGTCATCCCAGAGATTACCCCAACTCAAGAGGACTCTGAACTGATGGCATATATCACTAGAGAATTACACAGCTACATAGACAATCTCGAGAAAATCAAGTAAGTGTTCATTGTAGATGAAAATTGTAAATGCAGTTCATTGTAGATATAGTTCATTGTAGGTGTAGTTCAGTGTAAATGTACTTCATTGTAGATGTAGTTCATTGTAGGTGTAGTTCATTGGATATGTACTTCATTATAGATATAGTTCATTGTAGGTGTAGTTCATTAGATATTTCCAATTATCTTTTGTTTATAATTTGCATCAATTTATGTTCTTGATACTTTAAACACTTTCTTATTTCAAGACATTGGAGAGTAAGTTCAAGTTCTAAAAATATAATTTATGTATAGATGTGAAATATTAAAAGTTATAATCTATTCAACCTAAGTTGTCCATGTCAGCTGCAAAAATGAAAAAAAAAAGCTTTCCAACCCAATAATCTGCCCAAGACAAAGTTTGCAACATTTATTTACATATTAGGTAATTGGTAATACCCTCGTTTCAGAATAAAAGATGGCCTGCGCAATATTCTCAGTATTTCAAAACTTGGCAATCAGTATATACAAGCCCACAAACCATGGCTGCTCATCAAAGGATCCCCAGAGGAAAAGTACGTTTTTATTTTGGATATTACATGTTGGCATTTTAATGTGAATAATGATACATATTTTCTTAAACATCATCATTTATAATACTAAAATGACTCGTTTGTAACTCTGACATAAGTGTTTCATGAGGTTGAATTGTTAACAATTCTTGTGTATAATGAGGTTTTTGTTTTTCAGATTACGAGCAGGGACTGTTATTGGGATTGCTGTAAATATTACCAATCTTATATCCGTGCTACTACAACCATATATGCCTGAGGTTAGCAAGACCATACAGCAACAACTTAGTGCCCCGGACATTGTGAATGTGGTAGTTGACAAGTTTGTTTGCTTTCTAAAGCCAGGACATAAAATTGGCAAGGTATTAAAATTACATTATATGACAATTTTGAAAATATTAGTTTTCTTCAATTTGCAAAACATGTGTAAAGTACTGTAAGCTCTGCATGGTCTTTATTTTCATCACTTTCAGCTAAGCATACTAATGTGAATTAAATTCCTAATTCCTATATGTTCACAATGTTTTAGCCCAGCCCACTATTCCAGAAGATAGAGCCTAGTCTTGCAAGTGAACTTAGAGAAAAGTTTGCAGGACAATCTGTAAGTATTCACATTATAGATTTCAATATGTTTATTATCCCCTCCTGTTTGAAATGTATTGAATATCATTCTGTATTTATATGCAGTGAATTAAGGATTTAAGCCCTGGACTCAGTGCAATATGAAATGACCATTCTTTGAAAGTGTTGCCTTCAAAATCATCTAAAACACATTTTCAATGAAACTTTTTGCAAGGGTTAAGTTGGCAAAGTATCAATTCAGTCTGTAGAGTCCAGTCATCACCTTGACAACCGTTTTACTAGTGACCTTGAGTTGGTTACGGGTAATATAATGGAATGTAATCACATGAAATAGCATCTTCGGATTGGCTGGAATTGGACAGACCTTGTCTAACCTCACATTTAGACAATTTTAATCAGCGCATATTTATGTATTTCATCTTTTACATTGTAGAGCAAACAGTCAGTGAGTGCTGCAGATGCTGAGAGACTTTCAAGTGAAGTTGCAAAACAGGTCAGTCCACTCATCATATACAATGTATACATGTATATTCAGAGGGTAGAGGCTAGAAATGATAAGCTAGAGGGGTTTTAAAGATATCCATTATGGGTGACCAAAATGAAGCTGAAAGCAATGGATCACATGAGTTTTCCCTATATGGGAAAATAACATGGGAAATATTGTTTTCCACTTTATCTAAAAGGAATCACTTATTCATTTAACCTCTTGAATCCCAGGCTCTAAATTCAGTTGAAATCAGTGAATTTTTCATTGTAGATGGAGTTCATTTCTACATATTTTAAAACAATTTTTGTGTAAATTGGATGAAAATTGTTCAAATAAGAACAATTTTAGTGAAAGAATTTGTGACAGATTATCTCGTCACTCTGGGTTCTGAGGTCATTTCTAAGGTGACGAGAAATCTCATCACTTTGGGTAGTGAAGAGGTTAAAGTAACTGTGTGTCAAAACGCAACATATTGATGAGTGCTTTTCCTGGAGGTAATGCATTGGCATAACATATGCACCTGTTTAAATCCTCAGAAAATAGCCAAAATCCAACATATGACTGTTGCGATACTTTCCGCCCTCCTTTCAAATTTTCAAGTATGATTCTTGGTATGCAAATCTCGAACTGATTAGGTTTTGGGGATTCTGGACTAATATGAAGATGGCCATTTTGAATTCTCCGTCCTAAAATCTTGTCTGTAAAGTCTTGTCTTGACATGTTTTTTTGTGTTAAGGTGGCCATTTTGGATTTTCTGTCCAAATATTGACTTCTCTGTAAAGTCTTGTCTACATGTTTCCTGGTGAAGTGGTTGATGGAACGATTTCAAGTTTTCAGGCATGATTCTTTTGGCCATTCTTGGTAAATGTAAAGACGACCAAAATGGATTTTTTGTTCTAAATACTTTTCTGCTCAACTGATTAGTGTTGGGCATTGAAGATGAAAAATTTACAGTATATAGGATCACCCATTGGTGAGGGCATTTTTAGTAATATTTTCTGTTATGGTTATGTACATTTGGAATTTTTCTACTGTTGAATTTATTATTAAGAACAATCAAACAATATTTTCAATCTATCTGTAGCTTTATTTCTAAGCAATAAAAATAAAATATAGGCATATGTGTAGCTAGCTATAAAGTGACACAGGACAAACTTTTTTGCAACATTTTTAACTGTAACTCCTTTGCTCCTGATAGTATATATATGTATGCTGAATGTGCTAGGTATATTCTGAACTGTGCTGTGCATGCTAATAATAATACTTTATAGGTTCAAATCCTAAATACACAAGGCATATACTGATTACGTCTTTATGTATCATCAATGAGTTGATTGTCCATTAAAATCTTTAAAAACGCTTATTGATGACAACACAAAAAATATCATACTGTACTTGAACATATTGTTTATCAAGATCATGGAGCTCAGTGCCTTCAAAAAATGTTTATTTCATTATTCTTTTGAAAATGATTAAGATCTTTAAAAATTATTTTATAGTGGTACAGTAAAACCTGTCTAATCCGAACACCCATGGGACCAGCCAAAAGCGTTCAAATTGGCAGGTGTTCAAATTTCAAGGATTTTGTTGGTCGAGGGGGGGGGGGATTTTCATCGTTCAGTGCACCATATTGAACACTTAATACTAAGTCAGAAAACAATACATGTTGTTGATGAGTTAATTCTAAAAATAGGCCTATAGCCTATATGCTATGTTTTATTTATATTTTGAACAATTTCATCATTTTAGTAAAAATAACTCTTATATTTTGGCAAAAACTTTGTAAAACACTGTAAAAGTATATGATAGTCTCGTACGAAATCTTATGCTTATCAAATGGCTTATCCCATATTATTGTTATATAGCACTGCTTTACTTTTGCTTGAAAAAGTCCTTCATTGTTGTTTGTTTCTTGGCACTTTTAGCATTAGCAATATTTGAGTAGATATCCATTCGAGATGATGTATAATCCTTCAAAATATCAAGGGCATTCAGGATGTCAGATGTATGCGAATATTACGAAGTTGGATTTTTTCTCCTTCTCGTGATATAATCGTGTCTGCAAATGGCGTCTGTGTTGTCTTTGTGATTATAAAACATTTACTGATTGAATCTTAGCTATCATAACAGACCCATGGGATATAAAACAGTTAAGACCTGTTCATAATCCAAATCAAAAACATCCAGTTAATTTACAATAAGGATAAACCAATTATCTCCCAGACTCTCACCTTTCTCTTAATCCAAATCAAAAACATCCAGGTAATTTCCAATAATGATAAATCAATTATCTTCTTGATTCACACCTTTCTCTTAATCCAAAAATAAAACATTCAGTTCTTTTCAAATTTTATAAACCAATTAACTCCTGTATTCACACCTTTCCAAAACATCCTGTTGTTTTCCACAAATTAGGGATGTCACTGAGACTAAATAAGTTAATTAGGACAATTGGTTCTTTGATTGCATTTGTATATATGTAAAGATAAATAACAACTATAACATTGACTCAATATGTGGCTTTAATTGAAATGTCCAGACTTTGATTTCTGAAAAAAATGTTCAGATTAGACAGGTCACTTTTTCAAATCTGGTTGTTCACTGTTCAAATTAGGAGGTGTTCAGATTTCAAGGTTTTTTTAACATGGGAGTCAATGGGAGGAAAAAATGGGACCGAAAAAAAGTGTTCAAATTGGAAGGTGTTCGGATTAGCCAGGTGTTCAGATATACAGGTTTTACTGTATTTGTTACAAGTGATGTATTGATAGTCTTGCTTCAAGACTGTGGACCCTGCCCTATCAAACACTACACCGAACTCCAATGCAGTGTCTCGGTATAGACACTGCGGCGGGCAGATGAAGCAAATCCCCAAAATTTGGGGAAAATAGTTCCCCTTTTCATTGCATATGTGGTCAATTTTCACACAACTTATAAAATATGTATTCATGAATGTTCCCCAAACATTATTTTGTCAAAATATTTCAAAATTATTGAAATATGAGAAGAAATCACCGCGGAAGGAATTCTGAGTAAAAGTTTTGTTGATAATAGTTTACCGCACGTGTTGTTTATTAGTTAATACGCGCAATCCAACCAATGAAATTGTCTAAATTTTACAATCACGCGACCTGAGCATGGGACTAGAACCAATCACGTCAGTTGTTTATTACTAAGTTACCATGCTTACGGTGAGATACCTGCCTGCCGCAGTGATATATCACTGCACGGGAGTTCGACACTACACCTGCTTTAAAGTAGATAGGGGGGAGAGTCCAGGGTCTTGAAGCAAGACTAATGTATTGAGAAAGTTGATTGATCAACATTGGTTAAAGATACATTAAAAAATGTAAAAATGATTGACAATGAACTCTCCAGGATTTTCTCTCAACAGGATGCTAGATCCTTGTTTTCCCTGTTTTGGTTAACATATTTCTATATTTAACTCTTTTGGGTGCAAAAAGATTGTCATCAGATGTAATTTTCAGATTTTTATCAGCATTTGTACCTCCAAAGCTGGGAAGGTCAATATCAGAATCAAAAGCTTTTTAAGGATTCCCCTCAGTACAAGATTAATATTGGGCATATACATAGAGTAGTATTATGGCCATCATCAAAGGATTTCCTTTGTAAATCATTACATTAGATGTTTCTCCTTTACATTTCTCATCATCATCATCATCATCTTTGCTACACTTGGCAATTTCAGCAATCTTTGGCAGAAATTCATTCCAGAAGTTAATTCTGTCAGATTTGATGACAGCACCTACTGGACTAGGAGTGATGTCAGCTGATAGAGTCAGGTACTGACTGCTATCTTCTGTGAACTCTGGCCATTCTGTTGGCAGTGGTGGGTTGGCAACTGGTTCATTGGGATTTCTGAAAGTATTGCGTCATAGTTTAAAGAAAAACATATTACTGATGGCTGTATATTCAAGTGCAGTAGCAACTAAATTATCTAACATAATTGTTCAGAATTATATGTACATACCAATCACCAACAATGGCCATTTTGCTAAGAAACATAAATATCAGATTATTTCGCTTACCCAGTTTTGGCAAAGTTAGTCCAATAGGTAATCATGTTGTACATGAGGGCCCTCTCTGTTTCTGGTAGAATAGAGACCAATTCTACACTTGGGAACAAGTACCCAAGATCTGCTCCATGGTCAGCACCTTCAACCCATGCGGGGGCTATAACGCTTGGGCTCCTGTGTTCCATATGGTATGCATAGGACGTACTGCCTAGCTCAGCAAGTAGGTCTGCAAGTTCAACTGCTGGGACCAGGAACCAAGCATCTGTTATAAAGTCATGTGCAATTTCCATCATTTTTTCATTCTCCAATTCATTATCTCCATGGGGTCCGAAGTATGTATATCTAAGTGCTTCATGTATTGTATCTGCAACAGTTGTGTCACCAAACTTAGAAGCAGCTCCTTTCATTAGATTTTCCATCATAGACAGATCAAATGTTGAGTTTTCCCAGGGTATTGGTTCACTTTTGTTGTAATCTGGCAGGAAGTTTGATGTCAAGAACATGTAGCCTTCATCACTGTTCACTCCGATCATTAGGTCAATATTCTTTAACATATCTTGGCCTGGACCACTGTCTTTGCCTTCCATCTCCCGTGGATGCTCCACTATGAACTCCTTGTCTACAACTGGGGCCCAATTGACAGTCATTGATGTTGTTGGAGGCTTATAGGCTTCTTGTAAAACAGCAGCATCTATACCTCTAAGACATTTCACTAGATCTGCATTATTTGCATCATTGCAGCCCACTGCTGCTCCTGTTTGATTAACCATTTGTGCCATATCTAAGTTGAATGCCCAATCAGCAAACAGTGTCCCACTTTGGGAAATTGCTCTCCTGCAATTTTAATATAAACATGTAAATCATGTGAATACTGTATATGAATTAATGATATATTCACAACAGGCCCGTAGCCAGGTTCGATGGGTTCGAGCCAACCCATCCTGGAATGATCAAAAAGTGAACCCCCCTTGGCAAATCCTGGCTACGGGCCTGTCACAATGATACTAAATTTTCCAAAATTATAACATTTACTGGCAATACTTACAATGTATAGAATTTAAAAACAGAATTTCAAGTGTTCTTATCAGAAGGATTAAGACTTATTACAATGATTAAGACTTTAACTGTTACATAACACAGTTGAATCGAATCTTCCATTATAATTTTCATTCCTAGTCCTACTCACTGAAAAAGCCCCTTATTTGTCGGGGAAATGGCTTGTTGAGTGACACTGGCAGCACCAGCAGACTCTCCAAATATGGTTATCCTCTCCGGGTCACCACCAAATAAGGCAATGTTGTCCTTCACCCAGCGAATAGCAAGTTGTTGATCTAGTAGCCCCATGTTTCCTGAAATGAAAAAAGTACAAATTTGGGTTTTGGCCATTTTAAAAAATTGTGGTCATATTATTAATGTGTGTGTTATTTTACTTATTTTGCTATAACTGAAAAAGTAGTGGAGCGATTTTGTTGAAATTTAAAAAGATATGTTGTCAACTGCCATCTATATGAATCAAAAAGTCTATTTATTTGATAAGTTACAACCTGTACTGCCATCTATATGAAATACCAAGTCTTAAACAATCAACTTACCTGGAACTACATCATCTCCGGTGCTAAGGAAACCAAATGCACCAAGGCGATAGTTCATGCTGACCACAATCACATCACCTATCACCGTGAGCATTGTTCCGTCGTAGATTTCTGTGCTACCAAGTACAAACCTAAAAGTCATTGAATAATATGAACATACCAAATGTCTTATGATGCATATGCAGTTACAGTTAATGCTGCTTGCTTAGTACAATCAATGTTCTAGTATTAGTAAAAAGTAATTTGGCCAAAGAAAAAAGAAAATTTGCAAAAAGTTGAATAAATAAATAGAATTGAATAGAAAACTATTATTTCAGTAAAATAAACATTTAATCAAATAATTATAAAGCATGTATGATCATGCAAACTAATATAGAGAACCAATGGGAATGTCTTACCCCCCTCCATGGATCCACACCATGACTGCTTTTGCCTCTGAACTAGATGCGACTCCTGGGGCCCAGACATTCAAGTACAAACAGTCTTCACTGTAGTCTCTATCTGGAGACAATGCTGATACTGATTGCATACAGCCCTGGTTTTGTGTTGTTACATCACGTGTATCAGTCCATGTTGCACTCAGTGGCTGTGGGGGTTTGAATCGCAGATTCCCAACTGGTGGATCAGCAAAGGGAATTCCAAGGTATTCCCTGTATTTAGGATCACGGTTTTGGAGCTGTGGGGTACTTGCTACATCTGCGGCAATGGTCTTGAGTGTTCCACTTATAGGGCCACTTGGTAAAGTTACTACGGATGGCTGTGGTCTTGCTAAGGGAAGCATGGTGAGAACCACCACCAGTGGCAGCTGCATTCTATACATTGTTGATTATACCTGTTGGTATCAAACCATGCACATTAAATATTACTGTATTTTTGTCACACTGCAATCACTTATATATATCCTACATAATATGAAATGGATTTTCAGAACACATTTTTAAAAACAAATTAACATTTTATTTTTATTTTATCTACAAATGTTATGTAAGTCTTAATTAAAGAAATAATAGAAGTTCTACTGGTGTAACTAAATATATATTACCCCAGAGCTCTTGCCTCCTGTCCTTAGTACTGTCAGTCTCCGTATAGCTACTATACTGTCTTCAGGTTCAGAATGAAATTTATAATTCTTCCGGTAGCTACGTATTGGGCAGTTTTTGTCTGTGCTTATAATTATTAGAAATATGATAACTTAATGTTTATTTAGAATTGTTGATTTATTCTTAGGCCATTGATGCATCTGTGTTTGAACGAGATTATGTCAACATTTTTGTTGACAAAGTTTGAAACTCCCTGTATTGGGTCATTTTTGAAGTATGGTCCTTTTCTATGAGGCAGTGAATAACTAAATACTGATTGTTTGTTTTATCTTCAATATTTGTTTTATTGTCATCGTCAATACTTGTTACATTTTTCAATTTGAGTGTCCAATTCAGCCCTTCAGCTGTGTTCAAATATTTGACATTGATCTACAGTTTTCGCCTGTCACTGACCTTATTTTCTTTTATTAAGCTGAAGGTTTAGTTATGTATATGTAAGTTTAGGGACCAGGTGAATATTTCAATGATGTTTCAAAAACGAATAAATGAAACATTTCAGTTGGACCACCTTCAACTCACTTCAAATCAAATTTTGTTTCATTAAAAAAGTGTATTTAGGTTATTAAAATGAAAACAAGTCTCGGTTTGGAGAACACTCTCCTGAGCTACAATTTTTTATGAAAAATATAGAAATATCAACCAAATTAAATTATGATTATTCAAAAGAGGACATTTAAATCTACAAGATGTAAAAATATCAAAATTGTCCGAAGCAGGCGTTACGTGCAGTAGACTGATACAATAAAAGATAGGTCTCGATTTGGAGAAAGAAGTTCATCAGTGCAGTGCAGTAGACAGATGAACTTCGTTCTCCAAACTGAGACTAGTCTTTTGCTTGTGAACAGACAGTACATTGATATCTCCTTCCCAAGAAGAATCAATTTGCTTTTAAAATTATTCATTTTCAGAGATGTCTTTCTTGGAGAATTGTATGTGGAATATGAATTACTTTTGTAAGGATTTTGTGTTCTGTTGACAAACACCTCAGTTAAAAACTTTTTCCTAGTGCCTATAATATTTTATAATTTCATTACCTGCTTCCAGGGTGATATTGTTCGTGAACTGAAGTCCAAAGGTGAAAAATCTCAGGTTGATGTTGAAGTGAAGAAGCTTCTTGAATTAAAGAAACAACTTGCAGCAGCCCAAGGAGTGCCTGAAACTGGTGGGAAGAAGAAAAAGGGAGGGAAAACAGACAATTCTAAAGGTCAAGGTCAACCTAGTAAGAAGTCGTCTGTTAATGTTCCAAAGGTCGCCGACCCTGCACTTGTAGAATCCTTAACAACTCAAGTAACACAGCAAGTAAGGACAATGTACAATAACATGGATGTCATTTTCATAATATGACATAAAAATGAAATTCATGAAGTAACTAATTTTTTTGTCTAAAACTCTCTGATCACAAAAAAGTGGCAATAACCCTTGCCAATCCACTTAAAATATTATACTTTGCAAAAGCAATCAACTACAGTCCATTCCATAACACCAGCCCCCTTCCAGATTTTTGAAGAATGTTGGAGAAATAATGATAGAAACTTTAAATGACCTTTTCCCTAGAAATGTGCGAATATTTTGTAAAGGAGGAAGATTTGCTATGTTGAAGACCCTTTTTAAAGATAGTGAACCTGAAAACTATTTAACTTTTGTGATATATCAATAAATTTAGCTGTTACTAAAGTATACAAAGTAATTTTAGAATCTAAATTATGTGACTTCTGTGAATGAAACATCATATTTATTGACCTTCATGGAGCATTTTAGGGCTGCTACACAATGTGGTCGCATTCCATAATCTAACTTACTCTTGGTATTAATGGTCACTGGTTTTAAATAAGGTTGTCTTTTGTCAAGGATAATAAAGATATATCAATGTATTTTTAAATTGTTTTTTTTCTAAGTAGGTAAATGAGGGTCCCAAAGTTCATATTTAATGCATCTAGTTCATTGAACTGTTTGTTGATGGCATGAACACATTGAAAAAATGTTGTTGGCATATCTAAGCTGAAAAATAGTATTTGATATGTTTTGAATATTACTGTGCCATTTGTTTTATGTGACCTTTAATTTAGATAGCATTTTTCAGAATATCTTTATGCTATGGAGATGACATTTCATTTACTGTAGATACACTTATTTTGACGCTACTTAGTTTGATGGATTTGCTCAATTTGAAATATTGGCAGCTATTTAATTTGGCGGATTCAGGACTGAAGTTTAATTTTTGTAGATGTTTATGTCATTAGGACAGGTGTTTACAAAGATATTTTCTGTATTTCTTTTGGAATAATGTAGAATTGATGACATGTTGACAGGAAAAGGGGCCCCTGGAGTTTAAATTCTGAAGTGCATTGGACAAAAATTCCAAACTGAAATTTGATGGATTTTTAATTTGGGGGATTTTCTGAATCCGCCAATCCGTCAAATCAAAACGGGAGCCAAATTAAGTGAATCTACAGTATATAACCAGAAGTGAAAATATGAAGATCTGAAAATAAGAGTGGAGAGTCCATGATTCTAAAAAACATACATAATATAATTTTTTGTTTTATTTCAGGGAGATACAGTGAGACAGTTAAAAGCTAGTAAAGCAGCTAAGCCTGAGGTTGATAGTGCTGTAGCCAAACTGTTGGATCTGAAGAGACAGCTTGCAGTTGCGCAAGGACTGAACCCAGATGATATTGGAGCTGGTGGTAAAAAGAAAAAGGGCAAGAAATAATATAGACTATGTACTAAAATAATATTGGGATTGGGAACAAATATTATTTTAACACACACACATCAATACAGGATTTGTTAATTTTATGCAACAGTGCTACATGTCCAATTGCGTTGAGACTTTTTATATGATATGATATGTGAACATATGTACAGTAAAACCTGTCTATATTGAAAACCTTTAGAGGCACAGAAAGTGTTCACTAGACACAGTCTTTATAGTCTATAAAGTCACTGGAGTTTGAAATGGTGTTCACCTGGGACAGGTATTCACTAGAAACAGGTGATCGTCACTGTGGAAAGTTTACTATGTTAGTCAGAAGCATATAAAAAACTTCAAGTATTCTCAAAATAAGAATTGAATTGTACTATTCATATTTCATCAAATTATTTCTATTCCAAAATAGGATGTAGTAAAACTGTTTTCGGTGTTATGTTTTATTTTACATATTTATCATATCAATGCACAATAATTTTTTCATTTGGGATGTAAAAGAAGGAGTTTTATCAATATTAATAAATAAAATAAAATAAATATTGCAGATCAATTGTTTGTTATACCACTGAGTGCAGACATATTGTTACAGTTTCCACTTTTAAGTGGTGGCATTTGACGTTTGTGAAGTTAGTTTAAGGTAAATAGAGTATATACACAACAAACTGTATATCGTGTGAAAATTCCATGAACAAATAACAAAAAATATCTTACATGGCTATGCAATTGCAAGCAGGACCATTTTTAACATTTTATGAATCTATTTTTTACTCTGTGACAAACTGTCATAAATCGTGATCAAGAGATCTATTTAACACAAAGATAACTAAAAATTTGAAAAGAATCAATCAAACACTGCTAATATTTATATTTAACAGTCGTGACCAGTCTATTTTATACAGCGGGGCAGAAAGAAGTTGTTCTGGATCCTGCAATTCTGCATTCAACGGATGTTTTCATAAAACTTTGAGTTATTTTAAAAAACTTACCCCAATATATAAATGAAGGCTAAATTATTTTTTCAATGTTTATACAAGTATCCACTCTTATCTTTAATGAATAATTCGAGGATCCAGTTTCAATTTACTTGTAAATATTTAGAAATTAATATTTGGCCACATTTGAATATGTTTTTTTTATGAAAAAATAGTTTACTTAAGTATCTGAATATAACCAAATGCTTAATCCAATAAAGGACCTTTCCCCCATTTGAATAGTGTTTGTTTAACATCTTTTTTATGTTTTTGTCAATGTTAAATTATGTCTTACAAAAGCAACTGTTTCGAATTATGTTAAATATTCATCAAGGCTGCAGATTACAAATGTTTTGAATTCAAGAAATGTTTTCGAATAAGATAATGATTTGATAGTTTCATTAATACTGAGGCTAGCTAGATAGACTAGATTTTAATTTTAGATAACTTACATGAATACGTACATACTATCAGTTTATCATTTGAGATTTCTATGTTCATAATACCCCAGGCATGCCAGTTGCTTTGTTTAATTTATTATTTCATCAAAAGTAACTATAAGTTTTAGGTCAACATGAAAGATAAATAAGATATACAATTACTGAAACAGGCTGACTACACTGCCATCTTTATGAACATTCTTTTTATCAACCAAGAGGGGGAATATCCCAAATTTCTATTCTGATACTCAGACCAGACCACCTCTGCCATGCAAAGAATGGAGGAAACTGATAGAAGGCTGTGTTCTCTCACAATGATAAATTTCATAAATAAACCTTTATGTAAAGATGAACTTGGAGTTGGTTCTTTCCTCCTCTTTTATCAATCATACCCTATGAAAATAACTATAGATCATTAACACCTATCATTGTTTCTATAAAGCATATAGATGGAATAAAGCTATGCTACTTTTAAAAAAATTCATGTTTGAAATCACAAATTGAAAGTCTATATATAAAACAATATATCTCAATATAAGTTTTCAAACGTTTCTTTGAGTCTTGGCATTTAACGCTTTAGAAAATTATCGGAGAAATTATCAATCAAAAATTAGATTTCAGTGACAATCTTAAATCAGTGCAAATACCCGAGAAATGCAATGTTATTTCAAAGTATAAACTCTCCATTCATAAAGGACCTGGATTCAAGAAGGATTGGGAGCCATGATTCACACTAGATCCCCTGTTGACTGGTGTATACAAATTTGGTAATAATAGTATCCATATGGTGAAGAATAACATTGCTTTGGGGATTGAATATTACCATAATTCATTAATATAAGTAATGTCCAAGATCATTAACAATTATAGCACAACCAATGTGCACCGTGAGTGCCACAGCCAATCAGTCCAAGATCGTTAACAATTATAGCACAACCAATGTGCAGGGTGAGTGCCACAGCCAATCAGTCCAAGATCGTTAACAGTTATAGCACAACCAATGTGCACCGTGAGTGCCACAGCCAATCAGTCCAAGATCGTTAACAATTATAGCACAACCAATGTGCACCGTGAGTGCCACAGCCAATCAGTCCAAGATCGTTAACAATTATAGCACAACCAATGTGCACCGTGAGTGCCACAGCCAATCAGTCCAAGATCGTTAACAATTATAGCACAACCAATGTGCAGGGTGAGTGCCACAGCCAATCAGTCCAAGATCGTTAACAATTATAGCACAACCAATGTGCACCGTGAGTGCCACAGCCAATCAGTCCAAGATCGTTAACAATTATAGCACAACCAATGTGCACCGTGAGTGCCACAGCCAATCAGTCCAAGATCGTTAACAATTATAGCACAACCAATGTGCACCGTGAGTGCCACAGCCAATCAGTCCAAGATCGTTAACATTTACAGCACAACCAATGTGCACCGTGAGTGCCGCGGCCAATCAGTCCAAGATCATTAACAATTTTAGCACAACCAATGTGCACCGTGAGTGCCCGGCCAATCAGTCCAAGATCATTAACAATTATAGCACAACTAATGTGCACCGTGAGTGCAACGGCCAATCAGTCAAAGATCATTAACAATTTTAGCACAACCAATGTGCACCGTGAGTGCCGCAACCAATGAGTCCAAGATCATTAACAATTATAGCACAACCAATGTGCACCGTGAGTGCCACAGCCAATCAGTCCAAGATCATTAACAATTACAGCACAACCAATGTGCACCGTGAGTCCCGCGGCCAATGAGTCCAAGATCATTAACAATTACAGCACAACCAATGTGCACCGTGAGTGCCGCGGCCAATGAGTCCAAGATCATTAACAATTACAGCACAACCAATGTGCACCGTGAGTGCCGCGGCCAATGAGTCCAAGATCATTAACAATTACAGCACAACCAATGTGCACCGTGAGTGCCGCGGCCAATGAGTCCAAGATCATTAACAATTACAGCACAACCAATGTGCACCGTGAGTGCCGCGGCCAATGAGTCCAAGATCATTAACAATTACAGCACAACCAATGTGCACCGTGAGTGCCGCGGCCAATGAGTCCAAGATCATTAACAATTACAGCACAACCAATGTGCACCGTGAGTGCCGCGGCCAATGAGTCCAAGATCATTAACAATTACAGCACAACCAATGTGCACCGTGAGTGCCGCGGCCAATGAGTCCAAGATCATTAACAATTACAGCACAACCAATGTGCACCGTGAGTGCCGCGGCCAATGAGTCCAAGATCATTAACAATTACAGCACAACCAATGTGCACCGTGAGTGCCGCGGCCAATGAGTCCAAGATCATTAACAATTACAGCACAACCAATGTGCACCGTGAGTGCCGCGGCCAATGAGTCCAAGATCATTAACAATTACAGCACAACCAATGTGCACCGTGAGTGCCGCGGCCAATGAGTCCAAGATCATTAACAATTACAGCACAACCAATGTGCACCGTGAGTGCCGCGGCCAATGAGTCCAAGATCATTAACAATTACAGCACAACCAATGTGCACCGTGAGTGCCGCGGCCAATGAGTCCAAGATCATTAACAATTACAGCACAACCAATGTGCACCGTGAGTGCCGCGGCCAATGAGTCCAAGATCATTAACAATTACAGCACAACCAATGTGCACCGTGAGTGCCGCGGCCAATGAGTCCAAGATCATTAACAATTACAGCACAACCAATGTGCACCGTGAGTGCCGCGGCCAATGAGTCCAAGATCATTAACAATTACAGCACAACCAATGTGCACCGTGAGTGCCGCGGCCAATGAGTCCAAGATCATTAACAATTACAGCACAACCAATGTGCACCGTGAGTGCCGCGGCCAATGAGTCCGAGATCATTAACAATTACAGCACAACCAATGTGCAAGAATGTGTCACAATCAATGATTATAGCTCCCATATTAAACTTATCTACCTTTTTGAACACTAAGCTGTCAGCATTAACATTAAAAGGTCATGTAAGGTCACGCCACTGTGTTAATAGCCAGCTGTAACTTGATACCTTTTTAAATCTTTTAAATTGCTTCTAGCACAAGATAAATTCGAACATGGATTTGGGCCAAATTGCTTGGCTTGATTGGTGATAACACAACTAAAATGAAGCACAATCAATGGTACACATGGAATGACCAATATGACAACACAACCAATGTGTAACATAATGTATTACAGTCAATCACAACAAATAATGAATTTAAGCACAGTCAATGCATCGAAGAGTGTACCATAATCAATGGTACACCCGAAATAATGAATATGATAGCACAACTAACGGGCAGCTAACAATGACTAATGTCTAACATAGTGTATCACTGCAATGTAATTTTGTAAAGCATGTGTTAGAATGAAATAATTATTAGTAGTAGCACAACCAAAATAGCACAACCTACCGAAATGTATTGCAATCAATTGTACAAGACATTATCAAAACAACAGCACAACCAATGTGCACCCTAATGAATCACAGTCAAGCAATGCAACTTGATTAGTTAAAGCACAACCAATGCTAGAATGTATCATAATCATTGGTACTCTTGAAATAATAGCACAAAAATTAATATGTACTTTAATGTATCACAGTAAATCTGTCCAACATTTTAATTTGGCATATAGCACAACCAAATCTAATCACAACAAATTATGGTACAGATTAAAATTGTAGCACAATGTTACCTTCTTCTAAGGCCAGCACAATGTAGCATTGTATTCATCACAGCCTATCCGAGGCCAAGTAATAAGATCAAAATGTACGGAGTTGTTGAATAAGACAGCATGTGTATACCGAATGGTCTTTATTCGGTCTTAGATAATACAAAAATGTGGAACCTGTGAAGTCTGGGTATATACCCGGGGATATATACAGAGCCATTGCAAGGGAAACCGAGAACACTGAACGAAACTAAATAAAGCACCTTGCATGACGTCATGTTTGGGGTTTGCACCTTTTGTTGAAGGAGGTTCCCTCAGAGAATTCCCGAAATGCAGGGAATTTCCCGTGATTTTGACATGATTTCTAGCTGAATAATCGCATTGCCGAAGAAGACATTGGTGGCACACGAAGTACCGACTACTACTCCATGAATCTGGAGACGAACAAGTTAAGTGGACGTGTATTTAGCTTGAATATTGAGGTTATACTGATATGCCACGTCGGAAAACGGTCAATCCCCAACCATCGCAGGGTAAGTTTTTGTTTATTTTTATCTTGATTCATGTGTTAAACAGGACTTGTTTACAATCAGAGTTCATTGCACCAGCTACATATGTACCTCATTTACACTATTACAACTGTTATTTGGATGAATTCTTGATAATTTTGGAGAAAACATAACTGTTTTGATGGGGAACCCCTATGCATAATGTTGTTCCTAATTATGGAAGTGAGCTCATTTGACCTACTTTCCCTTCCTCGGCTAAATTCACATTATACACACGTTTCTGCCCTGGTTAAGCGTTGATATTTCACAAATTGATGCAACAGTATACATACTACAAATTATGATGCATACATAATGGTGTACCACACAATTTTAGACTTAAATTAATGCAAAGTATGTATGTTTGACAGAGGGAAAATGGCGAATCCTACATGACGTCACGTAGTTTGAAGTAATATGTATGGCTTGCCAATCCGGAATATACTTAGGTACATTAGTGTATTCTATGTCAATGTCATTCTCAGAGACAATATTATATGTCGCTGATACAATGATATTGATATGTACTTATAAATATTTATTCTACCATTTCAACCAATGATACAATGGTAATATTGATATGTACTTATAATAATATTTATTCTACCATTTCAACCAATGACCTAAGTTACCAGCCAATCCATACATGTACATGTTATGAGTTTTAATTTTCATACTGCTGTAGGCATAAGAACATTGCAGTCAGATTCATAATTTCATTAACAACTTTGAATCTAAAAATAAGCACATTGCAACAGTATATGAAAAAAGAATAATATATACAAGGCCTAACTTGCATTTCAATATTTCTCCCTCCCTTTTGGTTTAGATTGATTTTATGGTGTTTTGTAATTTTTTATACACTATGTGGTCATTTTGTTATCATATGCTACGACCTCACTTTTGTTTGATATAAGTCCTGGAATTGGAAAAGTCATTTTGTATATATTTAAATTTTTTTATTTGTTTGTTTATTTGGATTTTCACTTGAACATCAGTAGTACACTATGAATTAATATTATATGCACCATGGTTAAAACTGACTTTAAACACTGTAAGACATAAATCTGAATGTGCTAATTTATATATATTAAAAACAGATTTTGTCTTTTAGATACTGATAGGACTTTTAATCATGTGATTGCAGATGACATACAAGAAGAAATAATAATAGAAATGGATGACAGTTCAACAAACATGGAAATCTCTGCATCTAATGGTAAAAAGTTCATGTTGTGCTTATAATGAATTGTAATCATATGACCAAGGCCACAGGAAAAGAGGTCTTATCTCAGATTTTTTAAAAATCATAAAGAGACCTTTCAAATGAGCCATGGCTTATGTCTTAACAATTTTTCCTTGCATATGCTATAGACCAAAGAGACAGATTTGAATTTAGCATATTTTCCAAGACTGCAGATAGTTTCCTATAGCAATTAATGATACAATATGTCAATAATAGTTATATATATAATCAGTCTGCTCTATGTTAGATTCCTCAAAAAGTCATCAACAGAAAGTACATAAATAAAATGATTTATGTATTGTACCTGAGGTCAATGAGTATATTGTAAAATATGTGTTCTGATTGTTAGTTTGATATTAATATATATTTAAATATTTGTAATTGCATTTTGAATTTAATTTCGCATACTGTGTCAGGAATATGGAACAGTAACCATTTTTTATGTTATCACCGAGGAAGAAAAATTATTATACAATTGTGAGGATTGAGGATAAAAAGGTAAAGACCCAACACACACATGATTGGCCTCTTATAAATATAGGACACTGGGCAGGGAAAGAAATCATACGATTCACATTTTTTATATTTTTGTTACAGATGAGACTGAGCCCACAGTGACAAGCCAGGTGTCTTCCAGAGGCAGAAAAGGTAAGGTATTAAACATACATGTATATTAAATTACCGTAAGGACAGCGTATACAGAACTACTAGAATGCATTTGGTACTTTTACTTAAATAACTGAATTTCAATTGATACCTAGAATCACAACAGAGATTTCAACTTTTGATATTTATACATGATTCATTACCTTAATTTATTAAGCTGAAGAGCTTCACTACAGGAATACAATTTGATTTGAATTAAAGTATGAACTTTGTTCAAATAGAATTTGAAGCATTAATTTTGCTTTTATCTTTACAGCAAGTGAGATAGCCAAAACAGAGAGCAAGCCACAGAAGAAGAATGTCATAGAACCAACAGAAAAGAGATTGAGGTTGGAAACTGAATTTGTGAAGGATGAGGAGAGTGTTACAGTAGATGATACTCTAGTGGAGATTGAACAGCCACGTGAGAGCGAGACACTTGAAGCTGTTCCATCAAGTAGCAAGACTGCAGATAATAGGAATCTCTCTCTGGAGGCCTTATTCAACATAACAGATGCTGAACTAAAGAAAATAGCTGATAACAAGAAGGAAAATGTTAACAAACCAAATGATGGGGTAAAGTTAACCAATGAAACAAATCAGCCAGTAATCGGTAATATGGGTGTAAAGATTGTCTATCCCCATGGAGTGAGTACTTTCCCGCACCCTGTTAAACTCACCTATGGAGATGGGGTTATTGTAACAGCAGTGCCTGAGAAAGGAGGTAATATTGTAACTGGTTCTCAAACCCATAATATAATAGCAGTACAGCCAGAAGTCAAGGGAGCTAATGTAGGGAGACCTAGAAAACATCCTCAAAAACCAGGGAAGCATATCTGCCCATATTGCTCCCGTGGCTGTGCTAAACCCAGTGTTCTTGAGAAACATGTCCGTGCACATACAGGTGAAAGACCATTCCCGTGTAAAGCATGTGGGTTCTCTTTTAAAACTAAGAGCAACCTTTACAAACATTGTAAATCAAGAGCACATGCTATAAAGGCTGGTCTTGTGTCCCAGCAACCAATAAGCTCAACAGGAGAATATGTTGTTTTACCCATGGTCTCTGATAATCAAGAAACTGACAGTGATGAAGGAGTGAGTGACACAGTTGAGGTACAAAATGAAGATGCTGCCACCAGCAAAGATAACCTCATAGATAATAATAAAGTTAATGAAGTAGAACAGGTTCAAGTAGAGGTATCTGAAATGGACAATAAATTGACCCAGAACCAAATTATCCTTGAAGAACCTGTAAAAAGTATTCAAGGTGGAAGGATTTATTTAACAGATCAACAATTCTATGATATCTCCTATGTGAATCAAAATTACACAGACTCCGAAAATGATGTACAAGAAGTAGTTCTACAAGAGGACTTGCCTCAAATGAAAGTACCACCACCTAAGGCCCAGAGTCTACCAACTGTAGCAAAGCTACTACAAGAGAGAGCAAAGCAGGATGAAATCACTACAGCTAACCCTACTTTACCCCAGAGTGTACCAACTGTAGCAAAGCTACTTCAAGATAGAGCAAAGCAGAATGAAATCACGACAGCTAACCCTACTTTATATAATTCAGATAATGGAACACAGAGCCAGAAACATATCAGTAGCAAGGTAGAGAATATATCTGACAACAGCATGAAGATAACACTACAGCTTGTCCAGGGTGAAGATGATGCCACTAAAAATAGCTTGCCTCAAGGCAGTGGAGATCAAACCCCAGTGAATCCCGATGTGATCCGTGATCGTATCTCTACACTGATTTCAAGAAATTCTGCCATTGTTGATATTCCTATGGCTGAAGCTCCTCGTTCAAAACGTTATTCACGTCAGAACAGTGATGTTAAAATGATAGAGTTACAGCAGCCAAGTACATCACAGGTCCTCCAGTTACAAAAAACAGGGAACATACAACTTCAACAAGTTCAACAAGACACCTCTAAATCCCAGGTGCATTTTTTGTCCCAGGCCGAGCCGACAGACCAGCCACCAGGGCTCCAGCTCTCGAATTTATATACGAGGACAGTGATACCATCTACGTCATCCAGTCCCCTCCAGAATCAAACTGACCATGCTGTTACAGTCGATTGTGAATCAAAGGAGATCAAGATCCACTTCAAACTGCCTAAGCCAGATGAAATTCAGACAGGTGATCAGCAAGAGGATATCTACAGCTTGCATAATCCAGAAGGAAGTGTCATCAAGGATCTGCTTTTGAAGAGTAGGCCAAGAGTGGTGTCTACTGTACAGAAAACATATGTAGAATCACCTGTTAAGGCAACCTCTACCCCTGCCCAAAATATACCCCCATCAGCCTTGGATACTACTAATGTAGAACACTTGTATGGTCCTTATCTATGTGGTACTTGTAACAATTCTTTCAAAGAGGAAAATCATCTGGAGCTTCATCAGCAATATTACTGTAATCCAACAGGACTTGATTCCCATGTTGTTGATGCTGGTGGGGATAATGTCCCAACTGTTGAAGAGTTCCCTACCATCACTGCTGGTACATCTCCTGAGGAGCGAGAGAAAATAACAAAGATGCTCGGTGATACAAGCAGTACAAACAAAGGAAGTCGCAAACGTAGAGAATCAGAACCAGCATCTATAGTAGTGGCCGCTTCTCCACAGAAGAAACAGAGGAAAAGCAGATTTACTACTATTGCCATGAAGAGTGGAATTGAAAGACAGATGAGTGCACCAACTACTGAACTCCATTCTGTGCTAGTTAATAAGCCATTCAATGATGATGTTTTAAATGAGGAAATCGTACCAACCACACCAACGACCAGTAACAAGTCATTGAAGATGAAATTAAAGGGCCATCTATTATTAAAGCGATCCCAGAGCATGGACATGGCTAAAATTGATGAATCTGTTAAAGAAGAAACAACAACCAACCTTGCTGATTCAGTTGCGAATGAGGTCAGTGTCTATACAACTGACGACAAAGAATTCCAAATTGTTGGTGATTTAGCAGATGACGAATATGTGATCATTGAAGAAAATGATGAAGTCCCTGATAATGCCAATGATTTACTCACAAGGGCTGGACTGTATGACTCCAGGGCACATGTTAATGTACTTCAACGTTTGATACCAAACATGCAAAGTCTACAGCTGTGTAAGAAACCCAACAAGGAGTTAGCACCTATTAAGTTAGCTTCTCTGATAAGATCACCAGATATGGCCACAATGGCCCCACTTCTTCAGGTGAACCATATAGGAGACCTGCCTTCAGACTCCACACAGCTGTATGTTGTCACAAGAATGACTGAGAAACTTGAAGATGATGCATTTAATGCCCATCTTAGGAAAATAGGGCGAGCTGCCATGCACAGATCTTTTTCTATGAATGATGCAGCATATGTACAACCAAATACAAAATCACCTATTGGACCACCCAGAATGATAACACCAGATGTCCATAGCCCATCAACAAATAAACCATTATCTGGGTTGGATTTGTTAGCTCTTCAACCAGTTAGCAAATTACTGAATGCCCAATCCCCTTCCACGAAGAACAAAGCTACAGCAATGATGTTAGGGCACTCTCATCCAAGCCTCAAGAATGATACACATGTTTCATTCTGCTGTGTGAAGAAACTCCAACCAATGTATGTGCGCCAGGGTGTGTATAGGAAAATTTCAATGTATTCAAATTGGAGGGTGGCTCCCCACAATCTTGACCCAGAGTGGCTGACATCCCGAATGCAGTTATCCCTTTATAAGACATCAACATCAAAGTACAACAGCAATTCACTCATTTCCAATCTCTCTGCCAAGAATACATGTGGAACATTGACACATTCAAGTTATTGGAACTACTATAACAAGCTTCAACAGATCAAACCATCTGATGGAAAAACAAAGGATAATTATACAATCAAAAAGCTCCCCATAGATATAAAAGTTTCAACTGAAGAGAAGGATATATCTCACATAAATGCAGAGGCTACTGCTTTAGAAAGTAGGGTGAAGCTGAGACAGGTCCTGAAGGAGAAACAGCCCAAGCGAGAGAAGATATTCCAGGGAGGATTCAAGAGTACTGAGGAGTATATATACGTGAGAGGCCGGGGTAGAGGTAAATATGTCTGTGAGGAATGTGGGATTAGGTGTAAGAAACCAAGCATGTTAAAGAAGCATCTTAGAACACACACTGATCTAAGACCTTACCACTGCCAACACTGCAAGTTCTCATTCAAAACCAAGGGGAACCTGACCAAACACATGAAGTCTAAAGCTCACTATAGGAAATGCTTTGAGATTGGTGTGCGCCCTATACCAACCAATGTGGAGGATTACCAGATAGACCAGATGGCTCTAGCAAGGCAGCAGCACCTATATGCCCAGGCCCAGCTAGCTGATGAGGCAGGGGAAGATGCTGGCTCTGATAATGAAGATGGCGATGGAGAAGATTCAGATGGCAATGAGAGCTATGAACTTGTCATGGATGTTGATGAACTAGATCAAGGGTAAGTGATCAATTTAACTAAGAATGTAGCCAATAGTTTTATCAAAACTTCCTACAAAATTTAGACAATTTTCACAATTTAAGCTATTATGAACCATCTAAAAAAACATTTGAGATTCAAAGGCAGTACAAAGCGCCACAATTCCTATGTATTCCTTGTATAGACATGCGATGACTATGTTTCGGTATGTGAAGAGGGTCTGTTGAAAAAAATCTACTTGTTTTTTCATTGAAGTAATTTTGTTAAGACGAGGAAGTAAAAACTATTGAAATAGCATGGGTGAGATGCCATTTCAGTGTCCAAAGCTTATATGAAGAAGGGTTGGAGTATGTTCTTCAAGAAATTACTTTCAAGAAAAAACATTGATATTTTGAGACAGCCCTACAATTTATGTATTGACTCTAAAAATCAATATCTTGACTCTAAAAATCTATGTCTTGACTCTAAAAATCTATGTCTTGACTCTGGTGTCTTGTTTTAGAGATGAAGCTTTAACTTCTGACCCCAATCTGCAGCCTAAACAGATCAAGATAATACAAACTAAGTAAGTTTTCAAATAATTTTTGCCTTGTCTTACTCAAGTACAACCTTTCATTAAACAGTACATTGTACAGTATATTCAGCAGATGCCCAAAAGGCCTCAAGAAAAGTAAATGCAAAATTTGGCCTGACAATAGATTAATTTCTGGATTTTACTTAAAATGGATTGAATAAATGAAGTGAAATGCATGGTTGATGAGAATCATTAAGAAGTATTCACACCCTGATTATCATTGCAACTGTATTGTTGTTTCAATACTCTGATAATACTGATCTAGTTTTAACACATCATTGTTTGATTGGGGTATTATGGATGCTACACATTGGATGGGGGGGTGCAATCTCACCCTGGTTACAGTCATGCACATTTTTAATATAATTGTAAAATCATATTGAACACTGATAAATGCTGCAGTGTCTAAGCTTCAGAAAGACTTCTTGTATATATACAGTAGCTCCATAATGTATCACTTAGAATACTTTTTTCTTACTACAGCACATTTTCATTTCAGAGGGTCACAAGACCATGTTACATACATAAATGTCAGTGACTTGGCAACTGAAGATGGAGCACTGTCCAATTTGATCACTGCAAGGCCTATAACATACAGTGGACCCCCCTCTTCACAGTGAGTAACAAAATTACATACTTTGAATACCAATAATGTCTGTCTAAAATAGGTTTAGTTGTACAATCGATTCCAGACATGAGTTTTTACAAAATATTTACATGGTAGAATGCACTGATCAGTTTGAGCAAATTAAACTGTTATTTCATACATTATGCAGTTTCTGCCAGTTTTGGAATTTTCCAAATAAACTCGTCCATAGGAAGAAAAATAGTATGTGTACAATGGAAAACTAAAACCATTCAAGTTAAAATAAAATGTTGAATTTCATACCATTGCCATTTGATTTTGCTTCTTTAAATGTACTCTTAACCTCAGGGTTGGAATTTCATGATGTACTGCCCTCTTATTTCATTCCTATTTTGCTGTATATAACTTCAGGGAGAAAGTAAAGGTCCAGCTGGTGTTTGATAAAGGTTCCACAGCAGAAATGTTACGCCAAGTCTCACAAAATACAGGTACATGTACACCCTCGAGTAGATTCATGTTGTACTCTTTTTACATTATGAGCCTTCATTGTACAGTTCCTTTGTAATTATGATTAGCATTATGAATGGATGTTCATTTGTAAAATTATAATAGAATACATTTCTAATACAATACAGTTCTAATACAAGCCTTATAAATAATTTATCTTAAATAAACCATAGAAATAAATGTAATACAATCCTAGAATTATAAAAATGTTGTATAAGACATCAGAGCTGTGAGACATCAGAACATGTTCACTCAAAAGTTATTGAAAATGAAAAGCTCTTAATCAGACTTTTTGAAAGATTTTGTAATATGCTTTAGATGACTCTGGTGCAGCAGGACCAGATGAAGTAGCGATGGCACGTACCTTGCTAGATCTCTCCCAGGGAGGCCAGGGGTCACAGGGTGGTAAGAGACGTCATCAGTTAGCAAGGCACCAGAGTGCCCCCACAGGAGCTGATACAGCAGAAGGTAGAAAATTTTATATCTCAAAATTTAATTGCATATTGCTTTATTAAAGCATTGTAAACCTAAAATGAAGGTTGGTTTCAGAAGATAAAATTGTTCGTATTGTAATTTATGAAGAGGTGTCCACATTGCAAAACGTTAGACCTATTAGAGAAATTCAATTAATCAGTCATATGCCTAGAATATTTTTGATGGATTTGAAGTACAGGAACACCTGTATATCATCACCATCATTTAATTCTTAAAGGTGGCAGCAGATTAAAATCACTAATTGGGGAACTGATATCTCGTACTAAGGATGGTGAGCAAGGCCAAGAAGGTGAGGAACAAATGGCAAGTTCAAACAAACCTGAGTACAAGATGAAGTCATTTCAGCAGTTTGATGGTGACAAGTTTGAACAGCATGCTGGAGTAACAGAGATCACTATTGGTGATGATGACAGCGCCACTATTCTGGATAAGGTATTTAATGCATTCAAGCTTCAATGGGGGGAGGGGGGGGGGGGCTGGGTTCTATACATGTGCAGTATCCTATTATTGAATCCGTCCACTTTTTTAAAATCATGAAGACATTTCAAAAGAGGCTCTGGATGAATAGTACAAAGGGCAATATAGTGAAATATTGGACCAAGGGCCGCAGGCCCAAGGTCCAATATTTCACTATTTTGCCCGCAGAAATGACGTTATTACTATTATTACCACCGTTAATGCCCAGGGCTGAAATAGCAAATTTGAAATAGAAAATCTTACGCACTGAACGATATCACTTTTCCCGGGAAACATAGCTGGGCGGATAATGTCATTATTGCCCGACTAAAGTCATTAATGCCCGACACAATATTGCTCACGTCAATATAGCAATTTAAATGCCTTCTCAACTAGTACTAAAACCCCTAGAACAGGCCCTGCAAGGTGGTAATAATAAGAAATAAGAAAAAACAAGTTTGTTTACACTGTTTTAGGTTTCCATCAAAATTGACACAAGAGCTTTGAAGTCTCTTGAATAATGCAATTAAAGAACAATAGAAACTAGACATGAATGAAAAATACAGTGAAATCTGTCAAGACTAGATCACATTTAAGCCAATTATGTCATACATAGGAGACACTCCGTCTGTGAATGGTCTGAGACAATGTTAATTTTCTTTGATTAAAGTAAGAACATGTATAAATGTGACTAATAAAGAAAGACAAGACAAAGAACATATAATATCAATCACAGATGCATTGAAGCCATTAAATGTATCTGTAATAGTAACTGGAATAGTCAGAACATTGTCAATAATCAAGGATACACTATGAATCGGAAACGTTTAAAGGTAAACCCAGCGACACATCTTTGTAATTTTATAATAATTTATGAAACAATTTAATTTCAAACTTGCGTGGTAAAGTGTATATACTGTAGACTTTTCAACAATGGGTGTTGGTTATTAAAAGATTATTTTCAATATGGAGCATTCATTCATTCAATGGCTGGAATTTATGTAGAAAACAGTTCCTCTTTATGTTAATTTAGTTGAGACTTACATCCAGTTTAAAATATTGTGTTTCAGGTTGGGCATCATAATGCTCCAAAGTCTAGCGTGATAATGGCAACCAGTGTCCAGAAGTCGACCAAACCTCAATTAGCGTCAGCCTCTGATGTTCAGGTCTGCCCAAATCTCTTTCCCCGTCCTAAGTCTACTGGGTCAACCACATATGAGCAGAAAATTCGAGCTTTACTCACTGCGAACCAGGATGCCCTAAAGGATGGCTCCAATGAAATTAGTGGAACTACAGTCACATCTATGGATATACAACCTGTTGTGTCAAAACCTGGCAGGAATACTGGTCCAATAGTGGGCCAGTTGATCAGGAGTGAGGAGAAGGAAATCAAAAAGCAACCAGCCGGCGCAAGGACTCCTGTGTTTCAGTTCAACCATCCATTCTTACCTGGAAACAACAAGAATGAGTTCACTTCTAAAGGACCTAAAACACCAGTTAAAGTGAAGCATACTCCACAGTTTGAGACTCCTGTGAAGGAGACTAAGTCTAATAACATTCTTTACATAAAGAGTGACACTCCTGTGAAGGAGACTCAATCTCCTAGTGTTATATATATCCAAGGTGAAGCTCCAGTTAAGGAGACTAAGTCTCTCGATGATGGCCATTCAACACCTCTCCAGACAAATATTGATAAAGAAGAGAGTGATGCCATTCGACCATCCAGTCTGAACATAATGCTACCAGTCACTATTAACATTGCCCCTAACACTCAGGCAGACCCTGCTCCAATCAACTTATCAGGTAAGAATGACCCACCTGACACTCTGGAAGCAAGCAGCGCAAATAAAGGGCCTCAGTTGGTCATTACCCCAAGCAGCTCTGCAGGAGGAAAACCCAACGTGAAGTTGGTATCACCAACAATCAACTCCCCTAGCAGTCCTAAGATTAGCATTCAGACTTCACAGGGAACTATATTTCAGTCACAACAGCAGGTGTTTTTTGTTACAAGTGAAAACCGAGCCCCGTTTGAAATCATGCCCATACCAGGAAAAGTAGCAGATTCTACGCCATATATGATTGGGAAGAAATACGAATGTGATATATGCGATAAACAATTTAACCAACAGCATCAGCTTACCTTGCATAAAAATATACATTACTTTGAGAAAACTTATAAATGTGAAGACTGCAACATGAGCTTCAAAAGTCTTGGTTTGTTAGCCAAACACGAAAGATCTCTTAGTCATTTTGCCAGGCAAGGACAAGTAATCCAGTCACAGCAGCCTGTACCCACCTCAGATAATCCCAGACCCTTCAGGTGTGAAGATTGTGATAAAGATTTCCGTATACAAGGACATTTAGCGAAACATTTCCGTTCCAAAATGCACTTGATGAGCTTGGAGCGACTAGATAAGATCCCAGCTGGGCATCTCTGTGATATTGACCCAATGGGTGTAGATGCCACAGATTGTGATACTGCATTAAGCAGTATACTTGAGATGATTAGCCACATGGATGATACCACTGGCCAGCTTAGATCAACTATTATTAAAGAAGATGATGTAGAAGATATGGAAGTTGATACTGTTGAAGAGTCTTACAACCAAACACACAATATTAGCCCACACACAGTATCAGAGCCTCAAATAATTGTCATCCAACCTCCCAATAATGGAGATGAAACAAACGCATATATCCCACCCTCTATAAATGTCCAAAATATGACCTCATTGGTATCAGATAGTCCTACTGCAGCGATTGATGACATTCAGGAGAGAACGTGTTATGTCTGTAATAGAGTATTCAAGAATGCTAGCTTTGTTCAGACTCATATTCTCACAGAACACGGCACTTTGGAAAAGGATCCTAACTCTAGGCTGTTCCAGTGTCCACATCCTGGCTGCTACAAGGAATATGACAGCAAAGAGTCATTCAAGTATCACATAGGTATGTTACATTCCATCCATGTACAGTAAAATCTCTCTAATCTAAACGCCACTTGGACCAAATCAAAATGTTCAGATTTGCTGGTGTACACGTTGAATCTTTTTTCTATGTATGAATTATTATTGCAAGCTCCGGTATTTACAACCTACTGTACATAAATGTTGTTTAGTTCAGTGAATGAAATGATTAAACTTATTTCATCTTAGTATTGAAGTGGCTGCAAATAATTCAGTGTAAAATCTTGGGATCTTCAAAGAACTTGTGATGGAAAATGGTGATGAGCAACATTTTTTTTCAATATTTAGAAAGTTAACGGTACTCCAGTCTCGTTTCTAGTCTTTTGTTCCCATTTAAAGTCCTAATTTGGTTGGTTGACAATTCACCTTTGAAAATTTCTCATTAGAAAACTTCAGTGTTCCTAGCAAAACTTACTTTTCATTGCCCTAGTATACTCCCAGATTGAAGATGTATTGATAAGTACTCAATTTTTTAATTGGACACAAAAACACCCCAAATGGGGCACATCAGAGCTTACAATAAATTATCAAAAATTTTGATCTGTGAATCTGAGTTTTCCAATATCAAATAAAGTATATTCATATCATGTGATTCAACCATTTGTTAAATATATATGTATTATGTGCCATCTTTTCAAGTGATTTAAAAATACCCGAGTGAACAATGTGCAAGTGCTGCTAAACATCTCTGAACTTCTATTTGATTGATTTATTTCTCACCTCAATCACTTCAATATTTACAAAAATGTTTCATTGTCTAATACTTATGCGTAGAGTTTTGATGAAAGATCACGCATGAAGTGTTTTTAACCCAGAATCACTGATGTGACACTACACTGTTTTTTCAAGGAATAGAAACCTATAGAATAAATTGTGAAATTTCTCATAAAACTGTAAAGAATTGAATCCTCATGAAGATCAGAAACTATTTGTTAGAAAGTTTATTAAAAAATTCTGATGAAAACATAGAAAATGCATTCACACTATAATATGAAAAAATAAAACAATGCTAATTCTCAGCTTATATTTCAGGTTCCCATGCAGTGAAGCGTGATGCTAAACCAAACTCTCACAGCTGCCATATATGTGACAAGTCCTTCAAGACAATTAATATGTTGAAGGTAACTATACGATATTTAGAAATCTTTTAATATGTTGAAGGTAACTGCACAATATTTAGAAATCTTTTAATATGTTGAAGGTAACTGCAAAATATTTAGAAATCTTTTAATATGTTGAAGGTAACTACACAATATTTAGAAATCTTTTAATATGTTGAAGGTAACTACACAATATTTAGAAATCTTTTTTCATGAAAGGATTTATAGAAACCAAGTTTTTACAGTTTTATGAAAAATGAAAAATTAAATTGTGTAATATGGATACCATACATCCTCTTAATGAATATACCTTTTAGCTGATGGTGACTGGCTTAAAAAGGAGTTTCATTGATGTTCTCGTGCTAACATTAAGAATAGTTGACCTTGAACTGAATAGTCCTATAATAGTACATGTACTCTAATTAGATACTGTAGTCATGTGTGTTTGATATTATGTTTGGATATTTCCAGCAACATATCGCAGGGCATGCCAATACCCGGCCATTTGTCTGTGAATACTGTGACGCTGGTTTCACCACTGCACAGGCCCTGAAACTGCATAAACGCACACACACCCAGGTAAGTTAAACATCATGGTTAGATTTTGATGCTAAATGAGGTAATTATCGAAGTAACACATGCCTATTGACATACAGATTTGCATAATTTTGCACCACCGTTACATGGCAGTTTTAGTTGCAAACTAATTTGATGTTTTAGAGTGTCACTTTTGCCAAAATTATACTAGATAGTAAACCATGCAGTTACCTCTAATAACATATTTTTATTCCATTTTATCAACACTTGGTTCATGTTCACATATTCCAGGAGCGCCCCTATGTATGTGGTCTGTGTGGAGATACATTTGCAAGGTCCGACCACCAGAAACAACATATGAAAACCCACAAAGATGATAACCAACCCCCCACAGCAAACACACCAGTTGAAGCTAGTCCACCTGGCTCTGAAGCTTGCCAGAATACCACAGCAGGTGCACCTACATGTATAATAGTACCCTCTGAGCTTGAACAGCCCAGCACCAGCATGGTGCCTCAAACTCAAACACCTCCTCGATCCATTATAGAGACTGATAGTGCAGGTGTTGAACAAGAGATATTGGTTCCAATGGCTGCATTGGATTCATTAGGTTTAACCCTCCAGGAGTTCACAGAGTCGATTGTCTCTGGCAAGATTAATGTGCGTAAATCAAAGGTGAATGTGAGCAGAATGATAAACAGTGACACTCCTGGAGAACAGCAGACTAATACTGTAATATATGTTGACAGTGAGAAAGGCACCCAGGCATTTTATGTTGATGAATGAACAAAACTCAAATGCAACATATTTAAGGGAAGTTTCTGGATTCTCAACAGTTGTAAAATCTCACTTAATTTCGATCCAATAACCTCCTCTCTTTTTGCATTGTTGATTGGTGAAGGCAAGATAAAAGAAAATAACATTAAAAGCAAGAAGAAAACGGCCTTCTAAACTCTCGACCAACAAAGTATGTTTTTGCACAATTTAAAAAACTTTTATAGTTTTGAGGATTGCCTTTTTAGTCATAATTTAAATGTTAATCACCATCTGCACTGTCTGTACTAGGTGCTTGATGCAGAACATGCAAGAGGTATAGAGTTATGTACGAGGGTTGTCCAAGAAGTTAAGAACTAATTGCTCTCTAACTCAAGAGATGGTTACATTGTAGCCACCATTTTTATGATCACCACCAGAAGGGGTGACATATTGTGATAGTCTTTTTGTGGTTGGTGTTTGGCATTTGTTGGGTGGCATCTGTAACAAAGGGCAAGTGGTGACATTTTTCATATTGATTGAAGTTATAGAAATCATGTTCTGTTGCTAGGCTACTATGATTCAGTAAAAGTTACCCTGTCATGGTCTAAAATTTTTGCATCCAATGGACGTAAGTTATTTCTGATTTTTCCATCCAACCTTCTGAAATTTCCACAAAAAAAGAGAAAAACGGGATCAATTTAAAATTTGAATACATGTATTTTGTTTTGAAATTCAGTATAATAATGAGAAGTTTTCTGAACACTATTCTAAAGAAATTTCAGCCTCGAATACTAAAAACTCAGCAAGTAGTTAAGGCCTTTGGTTCAACCCTCATACATGTGTACAACAAGGAGAAGATCATGTATTTAACATTTTGTACCTGCACAAAAAATATGCCTGCTTGTGTCTGAGTGAATCATTGTTATATTAGTGGCTACTGTTCCATATACATGTATTGTGGGCATTAGGGGTGGATGAATTAGATCTTCTGTTTCTGTTCCCTATGTACTGAAAGAATCTAGGCCTGACCCACCTGGGTTACCTGTACTTGTGGACACAATAGTGTATCTTGGCCTTTTTATTATCGCACTTTGAAAAAGTGCTATATTGTCGTCGTCTTGTGCTGTTGGGCGGGCGTGCGGTTGTGCGGGCGTGCGGGCGGCACATAAACCAAATCTTGTCATCAAATTTCCAGGATAACTGCTTACCTGTTCAACTTGAAATTTTTACAGATGCAAGAGCAGACTAGTACCAAGATCTGATTAGGTTAAGGGCATGCTGGGTAAACTACGTGGCGGCCATTTTGAATTTTTCAACAAATCTTGTCATCAAAATTCCAGGAAAACCACTTATCCGTTCAACTTGAAATTTTTACAGATGCAAGAGCAGACTATTGTCAAGATCTGATTAGGTTTTGGGTATGCTGGATGAATTACATGGTGGCCATTTTGAATTTTTCAATTTGGCGGCCATTTTGAATTTTTCAACTTGCTCCAAATTGACCAAATTTTTTTTTTTAAAAACATCTACAAGTTCTCAGAAGTTCAAATCTGACCTTAGATTTCAGATTTGACCTTTCATCCACCTTCAGTGACCTTGAAAAGGTCAAAAAAGTTGATTTTTTAAATTGATATTTTGGATTTAAATTTAGGTCAGCTTAATTACAAAACACCTACTGAGGTCTGAAAAAGTGAAATTTTCAAGGTCGAAGGTCAAGGTCATTAAACTAGGTCACAAATGATGTTATCCAAGTTTCTCAAAGTTTGAGACTACAAATCAATTCTTGTCATCAAAATTCCAAGAAAACCGCTAACCTGTTCAACTTGAAATTTTTACACATGCAATAGCAGACTAGTGCCAAGATCTGATTAGGTTTAGGGCATGCTGGGTAAACTACGTGGTGGCCATTTTGAATTTTTCAACAAATCTTGTCATCAAAATTCCAGGAAAACCACTTATCCGTTCAACTTGAATTTTTTACAGATGCAAGAGCAGACTATTGCCAAGATCTGATCAGGTTTTGGGTATGCTGGCTGAATAACATGGTGGCCATTTTGAATTTTTCAATTTGGCGGCCATTTTGAATTTTTCAACTTGCTCCAAGTTGACCAAATTTTTTTTTTTAAAAAACATCTACAAGTTCTCAGAAGTTCAAATCTGACCTTAGATTTCAGATTGGACCTTTCGTTGACCTTCAGTGACCTTTAAAAGGTCAAAAATTTGATTTTCTAAATTGATATTTTGGATTTAAATTTAGGTCAGCTTAATTACAAAACACCCACTGAGGTCTGAAAAAGTGAAATTTTCAAGGTCGAAGGTCATCAAATAAGGTCACAAACAATGTTATCTAAATTTTCCCAAAGTTCAAGACTACAAATAAATTCTTGTCATCAAAATTGCAGGAAAACCGCTAACCTTGTCAACTTGAAATATTTACAGATGCAAGAGCAGACTAGTGCCAAGGTCTGATTAGGTTTTTGCCATGCTGGGTAAATTGCATGGTGGCCAGTTTGCTCTTCAAAGTGCGATATTTATCACTGTGTGTCTTGTTAAAATTGCTTTGTTGCCTTGTAAAGGAGTCTGAATGATAAAATTGAGGGTTGTGTTTGAACTGGATTTAGATATTAAGTGTACATGTGGATTGTATGGTGTTATTTTCTAATAATGAAATCCTATGTCATTTTTACCTTTATTTCTATGAAATAATTAAAATCAAAATGGATTGGCTTGACAAAGTAACTTAAATCAGGGTTCAACTTGGGTTAAGATAATTGAACATTTTATTTTCAATGGTATTCTGACAAGACAGGTTTTATTTGAGTATTTTCAAGAAAGGCATACAGTATACCATGTATACTCATACTGGATAGACAATGAGTCTGTGAGAATAACAAAAGATGTAGCTTGTGGAAATTGGTTATTTTCCGTTAATTTCCATCATAGACGGCTACAAGATAATAGCTATAAAAAGATAAAACAGTTTTATAATGCTTGTTGTATAACCATAAACGCTATATTATATGAAGTATTAATAAGTATTTCAACCAGTCATTACTGGTTATGAATGCATTCTGTATTATGTAATTATGATTCAACGTATTGAAATATATATTTTTATGTTACATTGTTATATAAATCTTTGTATCTTTGGTTTTACATCTATGTTCATTGCCAGGGATGAGGCAATCATGTACATGTATCAAACAATTGAGTTGTTCAAAAAGTTTTACACAAAACTTCTCAAAAGAAGGGATTTTATTATTTTACATAAAAATAGTGACAACTTGACAGTGCATGGAAAAAAAGGTTGTGAAAAGAAATCAAGAACTCCGCGGAGTAGCAAAACCCACCCAACAAAATATATTTTATTATATACCTTGTCATTTTGGACATTAAATAGTAGTTGAATATAGTTTTGTCTCATCTTGGAAAAATTTACTTAGTGAAGGCCTGACTATAAGGTATTTGACCAAATCTTGTAACTCACTGGTATTTGCTTTATCAAAAAAATCATCATTTTCTCGAGTCCTATGCCAATAAGGCATCAACACGTAAAAGTTTAACTGAATCTGACAATTAGTATTAGCTGAGTTATTGAAATATTAATTTTCATGAAATAAGGTTGCCATTTTTAATTCAGCAGTCATTTTGAAAATTTCTTCTTGAAGTGATTTCTTTGTCCATATGGCATCTTATAAAATTTGAACAAAACCTGTCAACTGGTATTTGAGCTATTAATATTACAAAAATTACATTTTTAACAAAAAATGGTGGCCATTTTGAATTTAGGAGCCATCTTGAAAATTCCTCCTGAAGCAGTCTTATGTCACTAAAGCATGTAACATGTTAAATGTGAACCAAATCTGTTGACTGGTATTTGAGTTATCAAAGATTACATTTTTTCGAAAAAATGGTGGCCATTTTGAATTGAGCAGACATATTGAAAATTCCTTCTCGAGCATATAGTCCTACATCCATACGACATATGCCTATAAAACCAAATCTGTCAACTGGTATTTGAGTTATCGCTGGTTAAACGAATGTAAGGATGAATCCACAGATCGACAGATTGCTTCTCGATATCCCTATGAACTTTGTTGGGATAATGACACAACATGCAAGTATGTATAACCTGATAACAGATCCAGTAGATGCTTTTGAAAAACACAAGGGCTACATGTTATTAATAATAGAAACAATATCTCTTTTATTGTTTTATCAGAATTATTATACCAGATTGCAATAAATAGTTATGAATGCATGTTTTTTGTATTTGTGGGTATTTTCTCTCCCATGCTGAGGAGGGTCCCTGTAAATTGCAGCCAGACTCCTGAGGTCAATGCAACCAACTCCTATATATTGTTGCTACAAATTGTAGCTCCATTGTAACCAATTTTAACCAAGAAGAGTTAGGGTCACTCGGAGGCTGGTTGCAGTTTGCATACTTCGTGCTGAGAATCATCACTATGTGAACATATTTCTGTAATAGCAAACACATTAATTATTTCTATTTTTACGTTTTATAACCCTAAGTAGCAAATGAAACACAACATAAATCTGGTTGTACTAAGTTTCTGTTTACTTAATTATTTATCAAGATATATTGTTTTACTTGACATGATATTAAGCAAGTATAACCGATTTAGAGAGTCAATCTATACCTTTCCCAGTTCAATTGGCAAACAACAGTTTTTGCATGTTTTGTAAAATATCAACACTTCGTGGATCTATAGCACTCAATGAGCAGTATTAGACACATTTTCTCAGCTGTATTAATGATTTCAGATTGGTATTGTCTAGAACTGGAGATACAACATTTCAAAGTGTTTCATCTCTTTGTTTGAGTAATGCCGCTATTCAAGGGTGTCACTCAATGTCACAGAGATGGAAATTGTCATGATGAAATTTGCATTCCTCATCATTTAGAGAGATGAAGTGAGATACAGTGATTGTGATTACACAAGCTTTTCAATTTTGTCAAAGGTTTGCATAAAAAGGTCCTGTAAGTTTGAACGTGCCGATTGAACAGGGTCTAAAATAGTTCTTTGGCCACTCAGCTCACATGGTAAGGTACATATGGTCAATAAAAGTGGACGCCATAATATAGTTAACTTTAAAAGTTTTAAAATTTAAAGGAAATCAATGTAATGCTTTCAGGCTTCTTGTATAATTGCAAGCAACTTAATGGGGTCATGACCAAAAATTTAAAAGCTGATTTTTAACAATATATGTGGACATGTGTTAAAACTTCTATAGTCACATTATTGAAGTGAAACAAATTGAATTGAGTCAAAGGATTGTGCCACCAATGTTTAAACTTCTAAATGACAAGTGAGTGACAATCACAGCTTACCCATGTGACCTAATAATGTAACCCACAAACATGACAAACTCATAATCTAATCATTGCTGAAAAACATTACTACATGTACATATGAAAGGCATATTATGTACAACTTCTGTAAGGGAAAGAATGAGGCCTTTGATCGACAAATCCCATCAGTTTATAAACAGACAACTTAAAGTATGATTTAATTGATTTTTCATAAATCATACAAATATAGAATAATAAATGTATCCGTATTATACTGTTTACTTCATGATTAAGTGATGCATTTATTGCAAGACAAATGGAACAGACGATTTATTACCTCATATGCGTATCAATAAATAGCAAAAATTGTTAGAAAATGTAAGAGGGTACATGTAGGACATCAAATTTCTGTTCATAAATATTGTCTTTTCTTCAGATAAACTTGCTAAATCATACATATACCAATGCATAGAACTTGTCAAAAACGCAATAGTACATGGAAATGACTGCCCTGATGGCTGCAAAGTAATCAGAATAGACTTCAAAATCAGGGTATCACTATTTTATTATTTAACTTTGATTTTGTTTAGAAATTAATCAGAATTACCCAAATGCGAGTAGGTAGTTACCAGTTTCACCACCAGGTGGCTGATTCGGGTCAATTAACATGGCAGGTATATAAGAAAGTTCCCTTAAACTTAAATATTATCAATTTAAGTGGCTCAATTTTCATATAACCCTTATGTGTCTGATACTTATACTAATGAAAATATATCCAGTAAAGCAAAATATTATCTGTCCACTAAAAGAAAAGATATTTCATTTTTTGTGATTTTATAGCATGGGGTCTATGGGGAATCTCCCCGAGCTAGGTCACATTTTCAAAGAAAATTAATTTTTCAAAGTTAATAAACACTTTTTAAAACCACATTTCTAGATGTAATTTTACATGTAGATTTCAAATATGATATTACTTTGACTGAATTTTTAATGACGTAAATCAAGATTATTTCTACTCGCATCTGGGTTATTCAAACATGACCATGCTATATCAGAGCTCTCATCTAATCATAAATGCAGCATAGCTGTTCTCTAATTCTCCATAGATGGTTCATTATGCACTCTGCACCCGGGAATCTATGTATTGTGTTGGCAAAAATAACAACAAGTTGGTTTTTCATTCAATCCCCAATTCCCTGACCAATGCTTTCATTTTTTAAGTCTCAATTGGAATAAATAATGATAGGTCACTCAATATGGTGAAATTCTGCACTCGTTGGACAAAATGTCTGTACAAATGCTTTGTACGACATTACAGTATGTCCAAGTCATGCTGAATTTCTGCATATTGAATGGCCTATCATTATTTTTA